TTTTATTGTTGTAGTTTTCATCGGGAAAGTAAGAAAGATCCTCAAACCAGGTTCAGATGACGGAAACATTCAATATCGAATGAAAGTGTTGAAGTCCATTAAAGTAAGCAGCATATCGTTTTCATTTCTCACGTATAAATGAAAAACAACTAATGTTCATATTTTTAGCATGTCACAAGCAGTACCTAATTAACAAATAATCACTGCTACACTGGCTGTCGGATGGGACTTAAAAGGGTGGCCCGTGTGAGTATGTCCAACTCGCAAGATAAAGATCCTTCGGCGGTTTTTTTTTTTTTTTAAAGTGTAGGCGTGATAACGCCGGCCCATATGTTAGGGTTAGATTAGCAATAGGGACTATTTATTTAGTAATTTTGCTGGACTTTCAAAATCTTATTAACATATCGATTGTTAGTGTAGGATTCTCTTCCTCATAGTCTTTAATCGGTCGTTTTGCTGCGACGTGTTTGTTGTATGGCTAGGGCTATAATTAGGCCAAGGGTTCGACTTCACAATTATAGTGTAAGAACAGGCTAATAAGTATAGACTGTCCCTTCCTTCATTTTTCCTCTATTCCACTCAATCTTGTTGCTTCATACTCCTTTTCCTATCTTTTCTCGTCCGCTGAAGGGCCGAAACGTCGTAATAGTGGACCTAAAACCCACTCAACGATAAATAACTCAAAGTTCACACTAGGAGATAATGATATCTTGCAACAGCATTTTGTAAGAGTCACCACATTAGTATGCGATTGACCATTTCGCTGCTGTTGAATACGAAAGACTTATCTAGGCCAGGAACTGGTGCATAAACATGAGGACTTGTTTGCCTTAATTTATATGAAGACAGTTTGTGTTTTGCTTACCTGAATACTGTGTTCTACGGAATCCCGCCTCGCCACCATCTTTTCGGATTACTTCCAGTGCCAAGTGTACTGTCATTTTGAATAGTCTAAACTTTCGTGGTTTCATCAAAAGCTTGAAACGTTGGATGCATTTTTTCACAGATATCTTTCATGCATATATTTTTCGCATATTTTATTTAAACTCCAAAAAGAAGAAAAAACTTCCAAAAATGACTCCCTCTACGGTATATTGAATACCTTATTCGTGATTAATTACATATTGTCTAGATTCACCGTTGATGTAAACATCCTGACTGGACATTTTCAACGACACGTAAATTTCTAGACTAAGCATTTGTGTTTTGTAAAATAGTTTCAGCGAAAATTGACATACGTACTTAAGTAAAAACTTTGATTTTTGCTATTGAAGTGATCAATTGTTGACTGATCATTTCATCACTACTATATGCAATATCCTCGTTTATTGACAGGGTTCCCTTACGGGTAAAATCATTGTGACCAGCGTTAATTCCGAGGACGACTGTGGTATCACTGACTTGAAGAGAAAGAAAAAGTATCTACTGACGGGTAAGGCGCTCAAGGCTACTAAATCATGACCTATAACTTGTATACCCCGGCTGAAAATAAGACTTCTTGTTTCTAAAATAGGTTATTAACATATCACTAATAGCTCATGAAGTACATGTAGCTTTGTCTGACAAACTTAGATTAAAACGGTCAAATATGGAAGTTCAAGATATCCAAGCTTAATGCAGGTCATTTTATTAAATTAGGGCCCCGCATCGAGATGTGGGTGTCCTATAGTAATCAGGTTGTCCGTCTGTCTGTCTGTCTGTCCGTCCGTTTTTATACTGGTTTCTTCAGCCATGTATACATATTAAGTATTCTAGAGGTAAAGTTTACTTTAGCTTCTGGTCCATTTTTACTGGTTATATTGTAAAAATAAGTTGTTAACCCAATTCTTCTCAAATGAACATGAATTTGTCAGGATTTTTAAATTGTATAGAGATTTTAAATATCACTATTTCCCCTTTATTTCGCAACAACAATAAAAAAACAAAATAATTGTTCGATTCAGTCATTTGAAGTGATCACAAAACACTATTCAGATATATGTGATAATAATGATATTATGTAGTCGGCATTGCATTCGATTGAAACATGAAATGCATTTCGAAACTCATTAAACTACAAACGACATAATGCTAAATTACATATGGTGATAATGTTGTAGGATTCTTTTAACGAAAGTAATAGAATTTATTCTAAGATCTTCAAGCGTAAATGAGGATAAAACAATTGTGACACAACCAACAGGAACAGTTTTCCACCAAGCTGTATGATAAGCGTAATGTTTTTTTATTTCCTCATTTGTGAATTATCTGTTTCTACATAGTAACATGTGCTGTTTCCCAAACACACGGTGCTTGCAATATGCTAGGTATAAGGGTTTGTTCCATATACTACGAATACCCTGAAAGATACCGACAGGTGCTAATGCAGCTTGGTGGAAAGTATGGAGAAGTTTTTTTTTATGGTTGTCACCTTGATTTAGTTTGGAAGCATTCTATTTCCTTGGCCGATATAAGATGTGTTCGATACCTGTGTGTTTTTCTGGTGGTTTCGTTGCTCTGGACCTGAACTTGAGATTTGGATTAGGATTTGTATTGTGGGTGTTGCCGATGAAGACACTTACCCTTCCGGAATGCCTGGTCTGATATTCTCCTTATATTTTTCAAAGATCTGCATGTTAATATTTCTTTTGTTCTTAGTTTGCCCTCATGTCATGGAGTTTGAGGTTGTTGTCTGTGTAACCCATTATTTGATACATTAACGCGATGTAATCATTAGTTTGATAATCTCTTATAAAACTTTAATCTTATTTATTTTAAAATTGTTATTAAGTCATTCCAACTTTATCAATCACTCTTACTGTGGGAGGAAATCGAGAACTCGAGAAAAATCTACGTGACCGGGCAGCCCGGACGGCTTGGTGAAAGTGTTATGCCACTGCACCACCCGACCACTAATCTTATAAAACTTCTATTTTCAGCCATGGATAATGATGATGGAACGTATTCTATACATAATTGTACCAGCTTGGTCTTACAGCGATCAAAAATTACAAAGAAACTCGTGAGAATGTACAATTCAGACAAGACCAACAGCTATCCAGGACTGGACCAAGTCAACTGCAACACGTGTAAGGTAACGTAAGGACTTCGTTAAGTCGTAGCTTCAATGTTTTCAGCCTAAACATGTAGCTAAATTTCTCAATATAAATGATTGTATGCAAATTATAGACATTATGTGGTATGTTGTTTTATCTTATTAGCTGCAAGTTCCCGTACTTAACGATACTCATAATGAAAGATATTATAAGAAAATATAAGGTTTACACAATTTTTATGCCGCTTTTAGCAAAGCTTTTGACATTTTTTCTTATCGACTGTAATTCCTATGTGGAATACTGAAAATCGTATAACGTAAAACAAATGGCTGATAGGACCCTTTACTACGGAGCCCGTTAACTGACATGCTCCACACTTATTTTATTTCGTTTTTTCGAAATATTATTTCGTTTTTTTCGAAATAATAATTCGTTTAAACGAAATATCGAAATAATAATTCGTTTAAACGTTTCGTTTAAAAGAAATAATATTTCGAAAAAACGAAATAAAACAAGTATGGAGCATGTCAGTTAACGGGCTCCGTACTTTACCACAAATTATGAGCTAGATTATGTACATCCAAACCACGAATAAAATTGCATCGACCAGCTGTTTTGTGCCTCTAGGACTCAATAGCGATGGTAAAGGCCTAAAACTTAGTTCCATTGGTGCTCCACGTGTAGTAAATCACAGGTATGAGACCCATATGTTAATACATTCTTATAAAATTAGGCAGAGTCCAGAGTAAAACGAAGAGGTAATGAATATTTAATATGTAGGAAATATTCAGTCCTGTCCTAAAGTTTAGTTTGTGTACTATAATATTTCAGATCCAGTATTGCGGATTGAACGGTAACTGTGGTTTTGTTCCCCCTCCTCCTACCACATGTACGTACCACGGCGACCTCGCAGAAATTCTGTGTTACGAAAAGTTGCGATGCGTGCCATTCGGAGACAAGTGCGTGTGGTCATCATCCAAATGCTCCAAAGGACAATGACCAGATAACTTATGGTGTATAAGATTTTTCCAGTGAATAAACACATCTGGATTTCACCAAAATATTTTTTTCGTAAAATTTTGTGAAGAGGTACAATAACTTTTTAAATCCGACGGTGCCCGCATTGAATAAAAGATCATAAGTTTATTTTTTAAGAAAACGCTTGGATACTGAAGAATGTCATTTTTTGCTTAATAATTCAGTAATATTCCGTCCACCCGTTTGCCTAACTAAAATATACCACAATATGGTCTTTGATGGTACTTTGCACGGCAATATGATCGAAAAAAAAACCCTCAGCTACTTCACTGACTGAAACCTGGTACAATGTACAGCTGATATAATTCCGATCTGTAAAAGGTATAGACAAACACGTCCCGGCTTAATTCTTTATTGGGGAGAAATTGTGGGTAACAATGTTTTGTCCTTATAGAAAATGATAGGAGCATAAAAGGAAAACTTATATGACACTTCACTCCAGGTCTTTCCAATATCTTTGTAATGAAAATCCATACTGATGGCCATTTTATTTAAGTAATATATACCGGACAACTAAGCTATAAGAGGAACATGTCTTCCAATGAAATTTAAAATTTAGATCACTTGAAAGACTTGAAAGGCAATGTTTCCCTGCTAATATACACCCGCTCAAAAGTTAAGCCCCGCCATCTTCAAATTAGGAAATCTGAACCAAAAATAACACATTCAGGTAGATTGTCAACACTGCTTAAAACGAGGTCATTTTATAGAGATGTAACACGCGTAAACCCGTGTGCATGATATGCACGTGCCAGGTAAATTTGCTGTTACAAGGTGACCCTACGCCTGTAAAAAACTGAGTTCACGCCTACATTTTTCACAGTGCTTTCAAAGTCTTTTATCGATTGTATACCGCGTGCAGCTATGTCTAGACGACGAATTAGTAACAATAAATGGTGGCAAATCATTGGCATGCATAATACGAGAATGTCATGGAGGGAAATAGGACGACAACTCAATATTACCCACACCGTCATCAGTCGTCTAATACGTAAGCACGTGGCTACTGGGAATGTCCAAGATCGACAACGAAGTGGAAGACCCAGAAAAACAATGGCTCGTGATGACAGAATGCTTTTGAGACTGGCTAGGCAGGAGCCAAGATCAGCAAGTCGGACTCTAAGAGACAGATGGCAAGTCAACGCCCGATTGTCTCTCAGCACGTTGAAGCGGAGACTAAAAGCTGGTGGACTTTCTTCACGTCGTCCTATCCGACGTCCTCTTCTCACCTAGAGGCATATCCAGGACCGATTGCAGTGGTGCAACACACGGCGCGGTTGAAATATTCGGTCATGGAGACGTGTTCATTGGTCTGATGAAAGTCGGTTTCTTTTGAACGTTATTGACGGGAGAAGCCGGATATGGCGACCACGCGGTACTGCCTACCGTCAACATAACATCCAGCCAGAAATTCCATCCGGTGGTGGGTATGTGATGGTATGGGGTTGCTGTTCATATAATTGTAAACCTGACCTCGTCCAAGTCCAAGGCAACCTCAATGGCGAAAGGTACCAGAATCAGATCCTTCAAACAGAAATTGTGCCTCATTTTGATAACCATACGCTGGCGAGCCGACCCATCCTAATGGACGATAATGCCAGACCTCACCGAGCCCTTGCAGTTAGGGAATATCTTCAGCGTAACGCCATTGACACTCTTCCTTGGCCGGCGAGAAGCCCTGATCTGAACCCCATAGAACATTTATGGGATATTTTAGGCCGCCGGGTGCGAGCACGAGTCCCTGGTGTACAAAATCTGGCAGAACTTGCACAGACTCTTCGGGAGGAATGGAATAACCCCCCCCCAATGCAAATCAGAAGACTCATCACCAGTATGAGGAGACGTGTTGAAACTTGCATCCGTGCAAGGGGCGGTTACACCCGATACTAACAAATATTTGTGTTAACAAAGAGAGATGTATCACAAATTATTGCATCACTTTTTTGATGATGAAAAGTTGACTGATTTTCGTTAACATGAAAACATATTTTGGTTACTAAATTTGATGAAAAGTTTCAATTTTAAATTACTGCTGATAAAATATCAAATATTGAATTCATGTCATCATTTATAATCTAGTTACGAGTTTACAGTCGTACAAATACAGAATTAACATTTTCAACGGTATTTGTGCGGAAACTATTGATTCTCGGTTATGGTCTTTTCAACCCTGTCCAAAAAATCTGGTGGTGCTCAACTTTTGAGCGGGTGTATAGATATCGAAGAAAAAAAAAATAAACAGTACACCGTCTAATGGAGAGCTAAAACGTCAAAGACATGTATATTATTTTTTTTGAACATCTTGAATATTTCATAAAAGTTTATGAAATCTGATTATAAGAATGGTGTTGTAATATCTCATTATGGAGGTAAACCACGTATTATATCTAAAGCAGTGGAGTACTTTACCAAGGTCACACCCAAGAAAACGCAGCAATGTCTGTGATCTCAACTTCACAAGAAATATCCCACTTCTCCACCTGAGGTTGATATGTTCTGCTGACTAGGTGTTGATTGAAGTATTAAAGGAGATTCTGATTCCAAATGTCCGGGCTGTTTATTGGGCAATATCTAAGGTGTAAAAAGCCTGAAGACAACCATAACAGGAAATGTTGTAGACTAGATGTGTTGGAGCAACAAGATTTCCTCCCCTCTCCACACTCAGTAACTATAGAGAAGTTTGGAACTTTATTGTGTTACAGGCTTTTAACTAAGTTGTGCCTGCAGAATGTTTGAAATTCCAACTTGAGTTTGACAAGGTTTGCTGATATTAGTATTTACCATTCTTGTATATATTTTAATTAAAACTCCTAGCATTAATTGACCACAACCAAATCCTAACTTGACCTGCCAATATTTATCTAAAAGGACCTACCAAATTAAAGTTCTCTGTATTCCTTCAAGAATCCATGAGCAGAAACAAAATTATGGTGGTCAAGATTAACACTATATAACACAAAGACAAAAATTCTGCATTTGAAGGTTTTTAATTTCCTCAATATCAGACAGCATCAGACAATTAAAATCAAATTGATACTTATGTTCCAGTTACTGTCCATATAAAACGTACATTATAACATTTCTATCAGAATTCCAAAACGAGAATAAAAAGCAGCTGCTCGATCAGTGTTGTGACATCATACATATTTTCAATTCTTTTTTATTTATAGGTTACACCTACATCTGACACAGGAAAACCTACAGAGACAGATTTCATCAAGGTGTGTGATATCAGTAACATGTCAGACTGTATTCAAAACATTTAAAGCAATGTTTACTTGTGAATAGCAGTATTTTAACAGGGAACAGAGACATAATAATTAATTCTGTTCGATATTTATCACACTATTTTGACCTACAAGACTTTATAACTTAAAACTTTAATCTTTATTACCATTATATTCCAGACTTGATAGCATTAGTTTTCTCAAAACTCATAATGACAATTTTCTTTCTCTACCCTTATAGGAGAAATTGCTTGGCACTGATGTGACATTATTGAATATGATGTCAAATAATTGTTGTGACAGTGGAATCCCTTGTCTGATAAGAAAGCCATCTTACCAGCAGAAACATGTATAATATGGACAGTAGAAAAACACTATTACTATCAAATGTACCACTGGAAAAACGTTTTTTAAGTACATATCAAATAGTTTATAGTAAATCCCTAAAAGACGTATCATTAGGAAATGCTATAGCATCAGTTGAATCAGGAAGAAAAATTTCATATTCAAGTTTTCTGGGTTTTTAAAACTTTTTTTACTAAATTAATCGTCTCTGGAGTTTTGCTGGTTTAGAGTTACTCCACTATAGCTGTGCTCTTATTTCATTTAAACAATGTAGCACAGCCATTGAAATTAACGTTAAGTGAAGAACCAGACCCTCATGATTTTTAAAGTTCAATTTTGTTTCCAAGTTATCAAATTCTAACAATTACTTCCACCAAAAAGTACTTCAATAAATATTTCACAAGTGTAACATCTGTAAAACTATACTTCAATTTAATGAACTTTTTACTTTATCTATATTTTAGTTGTAATTATACACAAAGACGAGAAACTGTATGTCCCTCTGTTAAAGTAGTTATTGGACATGGAAAAAATCCCAAAATTTATCCATTTTACCTTAAAAGTTTGATTGGACCAAGAGCATATCCATCAAATTAATCTGTATCAGCTCTGACCTAACATCTCTTTATCATTAATGTATTCGATGGATCTCCAACAACGTTTATCACTAAAAAAATCCCTTAAGATAAACATTACAAATTGCATAAAGGCTATAAAGAGTGTCAACAACTCCTTCACAGCTTAACAAAATTTTCATTTTGAACAAAGACAATTTGTATAAAAATTTCATATTAAAGAATCTACACACAGCTGTTATCTTTTACAGTAATTAACCTATTGTAGGAGCATGTAAGTCACTGTGAGTTTTATCATCAATTTGTATTCTAGTAATATTGTCTGAACTTCCTTCTCCATCTTATGAAAGTATCTTTAACGTAAAAAATCAACACAATCACCAATTTCATGGATTCACCATGTCATACTTTAGAATCACAAATTAATCTGACATGCATTTAGATTTTAATGTTGGTATGCAAGATAAACTAATATTGAAGTTAGGCTTTCACTTTCCTTGGTGCAGGGTAAACACGTGCTATGTGTAGCCCTGGGGGAGAATGTCTAGTGACCATGCCTTCCTGCCCTAGAAGGACTGGAGTTGATCCTCAATATTCGGGGAGAATCTGCAGATTGAATTGTAGCAGGTCACTCTTTAGTTTTGTCAGCCTCAACTGTAGCTTTTGAGCAGTTTGTACTGCATTGATTTTGGTCACTCACATTTCGTTTCCAACATTTCAGCGTTTCCTACAATGGAACAGGTAATAACATAAATGACATGTACACTAACTAATTACACAATCATTATTTGAAAAAAAAAAGCTTCAACAAACCACTGATATAATTTTTCCATCAACAAGTTATATCACCACCCTTATCTAGCAAATTCTTGTTACACCGCACTATTTATCATGCAAATTCTTGTTACACTGCACTATTTATCCCGTAAAACCTTGTTACACTGCCAATATTCATCCAGTAAAACCTTGTTACACTGCCACTATTTGTCCAGTAAAACCTTGTTACACTGCCACTATTTGTCCAGTAAAACCTTGTTACACTGTCAGCATTTGTCCAGTAAAACTGTGTTACACTTTAACTATTTGTATAGTAAATTTTCTACCAAAGATCTTTGACTTGAAATAGAGGATTGATTAACTGGTTAGCAAAAAGAAACAACAACCAGAATCTAGTTTTGTGAGAATGTTTTTACTGCACTAATATTTCCTTTGATTCAAGGAATAACACTTACTTGGAGCCAAAGATAAGGTCAGCATCTGGAGCGCCCTTTGGATGCTGGTAGTTTCTCAGCCTTCTGTCCCGATTGGCATTCACCAATGGCATTGGCCTGTTCAAAGCCGCTATCATTTCTATAATGAAATGAACAAAATTATAATGAGAAAGAACTACACACTTTCATAAGATGAGGTGTGCACTTTGATAATTTGTTACTTAATAAAGCAATTCAAATAATCTCAGAAATGAATAACAACCATGTGCAATGATAGGACATACAAATAGTAACGTAGTGAGCAGGGCTCACATAGTTATCCCCTACTTCCTGATCTTTTTCTCTTGACCTAAATCTCTTGAGTGCTAATCTATCAAAGAGATCATGCGATATCTTATATACAAGTTTTTTTTATCTCAAAAGTGGTGAACAGTAATATAGAACTTCAGCCTTCAACCTTTAACCATCAAAATCTGATCAGGTGTAGACCTTGCTGTGGATGCTATGATGTGAATTTGAGGTACATCTGTCAATGGGTTCAAGAGATGTTTTGTAAACCAGGTTTTCACAGATACGTGCACTGCTGCATCAAGTGATTATGATGTAACTCCCCTTATGTAAGTGGGGAAAATAATAAATTGAGCATTTATGCCCTAAATCATTACTATAGAGAGAAAAAACAAAGATCAGGGGTTCACACAGATATACTCCCAATCTCTAATATTTTTTCTAAATAGATCTGGAGAGAGGTTCTTCAGATATGTTTTACACAAGCTTCTGTTTTTTGTAGTTAAGTGTGACTTTTGATGTTTAAAACCTTTACTGACGACATCCAAAATCTTATCTGTAACAGAAAATGATACTGTGATGGTGTTGATAAACACCAAATCTATCCCTGTAGTCATGAGATATATATTGTAAACATGCTTCTTTAAATTTGTAAAGACCTTGTGTCTTTTGTCTTTGACAATACACATTAGACCTGAGTGAGTGTGTGACTACTGAGATACTGTCAGACAACACACATACCCTGGTAGTCTTCCTCCTCCTGTCGCTCATGGATTCCCAGCACCACCTGTTTCATCCTTTCTTTCTCCATCTTCTCTGCCTGAGGAACAAAAAATAAAAAGTAAATGAAAAATGAAAAAAACAATAGAACTCATCTAATGTTAGAGTAACAAAGAAATTAATTACTACCGATGAAGGGAAGGTGTGAACGACACACTTACTATAGTATTGAACAAAGTATTGATACTATTGTATTGAAGTATTCAAATAATCGAGTCAAGTATACAACGACCTCTGTGATTGGTCGGGGGCGGAGTTTAGACAACCTGAATAGTTGATCTGACACCCAATTTGTTCCGGTAGGCGGAGTTATTGTACACTATCAGTTACATAACAATTACTAAGTAATCGCTGGAAACATGTCCGACGACGGCAACAGTACGCAAAATTTTCTTCGACGAAATTATGTCCGATACGAACGATATGGGGAATCCTGTTTTTGTACAAGGCGATGTGGTTGTGATGGATATTTGTGGATTCCATCACCATAGACAGGGAGAGCGCATTTTAAGAAATATGCTGAAAGAATATGGCGTGTCCCTGGTTTTTCAGCCGCCTTATTCCCCGGAATACATCGTAACTGAATATGTATTCAATGTCATGAGACAGAGGCTTCGGGCAAATACCCGACTTGTGTCAGAATTTCTGGAACTTGCAGTAGTAAATGCTCTAGATATTCCGCCCAACCAACTTCAAAGTTTTTTCACATGTTGCGGATATGTATAATTTTCGATGGAAAGATCAAAAATAAAATAAAAAAATATATGGGACCACAGAATTCCTTTATCTTTTAATGAAGTATGAATTATCGGCATATATCAGGAGGTCCCAGGTAATTCGTAATTCTTTGTTACATATAATAGAGCTTGGGCTTAAACCGAAATATTTTGAGCCAACCTCTCTCTCTCCATTCCCCCCCCCCCCCCTTTCAAAAAAATAAATATATGAATAAAACTAGTACAGAATGACTATATGACTATATTCACTGTTAAGATGTTATGAATTCTCCGGTCCCAGTGATCTAACCTGTTGATAAATATTTTGTACGTAAATTAGTTTAGTACTGAGTAACTTTCGTTTTCTCGTTGTACCATCGATGGAAAAGCAAGGTATCATTGGGTGTAGAACGAAAAAAATGGGACAACCCAATTAGGTCTGATCTGAAGCCACCTGTGACTTGGACTCTTCCAATTAACCTCTCGCGACAGTCGAGTGTTTGTAAAATGCCGATGTCTGCACAGTATTTTTTCACCTGGCTCCACCCACAATCGATCTAGACTTGGCTCTGCCAATCAGAGAGCTTGTTGCATAAATTTAAGGAATTCGATTGGTGAAGTACTTCAGTACAATACTATCAATACTTTGTTCAGTACTACAGTACTTGAAACGTTCACACCTTCCCTTCACCGGTAGTAACACAATCCCTATTTATGATAAAAATCTCACTTTATCTGTTTCATTTATATATTTTCACTGTCATATCATTTTATATCATTCAATAAGCATTTCAAGATATCTGTATAAAGAAATCATTATTCCTGTAACGAAAATACAGTAGACACAAGTTATAAATTTCCTTGTTAAAATAAGATAACATTTTTTCTCTTACACTATGCTTGTCAAAAAATATCAAATAAAACAGTCAATCTATATCAAAACCTTCCATGCTTTTCTTCCTAACAACTTACATGTTCCCTTTCTTTGTACTTAGCAGCAAACTCTGCAGAGATTGGTACATTCAGGTTGGTGAACTGAAATTAATTTGAACACTTTTAGATGAATTTATTTTGAATGGAAATGATTATTGCAAATTACACAGCATTGCAGATACATTCAGTCATATATAATGGATATATCCATAATTCCTAAATACTGGTACATGTATATATATAAAAAAATTGTAGTTACAACAAAACAATCCATGGATTGGATGAATGCTCCCAGAAAGCAAGTTATTGGAAATATTTTTGGTCTTTTCGTTCTTGTATTTGGTCATAGTGATGACACATATCTGTAAAAATGTGTTGAAATGGAGAGTTTGGAAGAGGAAAAACTAATGTTTTTACATATTGCATACAGATATTTGTGTTTGACACATGCTTGAGCAATGTAAGTACATGTAAGAACATATTTCCCTCTGTCTGTTACTCTGTACATGACATTTTAACAAAGAGGTATAACTCTGTAAATACGGGCCATGAATCTAGTACATTTACATCACCCTCATGTAACTGATGTATACACAATGCTTCATGATCCTTGCTTAACAAAGACTGAGAAAATTTCTTTAAGAAGACAATAAATGGTACTACACCTCTGAAATCTTAAGACATACACAGTAAATTAACTTTCTTTCACATGCCATTTACTTTTTAAATTTTATGATGGAAACGTTCACAAAAGTCAATTGCCATGAATTAAGACGGGTTGTAAACTACAATTATAATACATATACACATTGTATTATATAGTCTATTTTACAGAAGTTAATTGCTGCTAACTTATGATGAGGTAATTGTGAAAGAAAAAAGTTGGTCTACAATTAAATAATTTTGTACCTGCTGTTTGTTGCCTTTTCTGGTCATCAGCACAAAGTCTATAGACTTGTTCTCCTTCGGCTCTTCCACAGTTTCTGTAGAACCATAGTTAAACCAACCAATTATTGTTTAATAAGTCTAACTAATGAAATATCACAGCACATTCAGGTTATACATTTTGACTACAAAATTACCTTATAGGATAAAAACCCAGAAAAGCGTACCCTAGATCATGTCAACAAGTGAAATTTCACTATCCATAGTTCTCATACCCTACATCCCTTATTTTCTTGGAAGTGAGAGACATTCTATTTCATGTCCAATGTGTCATACTTATAAAAATGAAAATGAAATATCAATCATAAGAACAGTTTTTACAGAAGTACAAGAAAAAAAGTCATTTACTTTTGCAAGAGTGTGGAGAAAAAAAATTCAAATACTGTAACATTAGCTAGTTTATCATGTTAACACTTTTTAACTGAATCAAATTGCATGACGGGTATTCAGGCCCCAAGATAATCTGCACACGGCTTTTCCTGGCATGAATTAATTGATAATGTTGGCTATTTTTTGTTGTATCTAAGTTGATTTAATCGCACCTTTCATCCCCTTCGGACAATGTAGGGGGATCTCATACAATTTTGTACAGTTTAACAAATTTCAGATCTCGTTTGAAAGTGAAGATATCCCATGCACTAAAAGGACTAGAGATTACATATATATTCATTTTCTCTTTCCTCTCCACACCTACAGAAATACTTGTTCAGGTAATATAAAGGAAGGAAACAAGGAAACATGGCAATCAGGGAAATTCTTAACATAATAATGATCTTAAAGCTTACCGTAGAAATTAGAACAAGCTGCCTTTTTACTTTTATCCCTCAAATGCATCGGGACTGCTATATCAAGCTGTGGTACTTTGAGTGACTCCTGATTTCTTGCCTAAGAAACATAATTGAAAAGAAAGATACAAAATAAAATAACATATCATAATTAAACATATATATTAAATAGTAAAATAAAATCTGCTCAGGATACCGTCTTTTAATTAGTATGAAACTACACTAAATAAGCAACTATCTTAAAGAATTTATAAAGGTAGCAACCAAGTTCAAACTTGAAAGATTTGCTTGTTGTGAACTGCTGTTTCCTCAGAATATATAGTTGAGGATACATTGCAGGAAAGGAGTTGGTCGTTAGGAACAACCATCACTCATTGAATTTAGTGAAGATTAAATAATAACCTGAATGTTATCCGTCATCATCTTGTCAAATGCTGTCATGAAGTCATCATCTTCTGAGCACTTGACAAATCTTGGACCTCCTGTTAACAGGGTTATCTGGACAAAAAAAATGGCAATTAATATTTAACTTCTGCAAGCAAATAACAATAATCAGGTAAATGAAATCAGAAAAAGTATTTCTAGAAGATATGATTGCCCTGGTTCTTTGCAAAAATATGAATAAAATCTGTTGAGAAGTTCACAATATGTGGCATGGATTCAGGATGCAATAGAGTGGGGTGGAACAGTTGGATATGGGTAACAATGTATGCCCCAACCCCTACTTCTCCATTCAGACGTTAGCAGAACTTATAGATCACAGTTTCTGACATTCACAAGTCACAAGTTAAGAACTTCTCTAGACTTTTCAGAAAACATGCAGCATCAAAGAAAGAGGTCAAATTACTGTGTAATTGTTTTACAAACAACCTAACCTACAAAAATGTGGAATACACACCAAGAAAAGTAATGATGAAATAAAATAATGATTAAACAGTACAATTTTTACAGCTCCAGCCATACCTCAGCTAGTTTTGTTTAATTATTTTTTTCACCAATAATAGCATAAACTATAAATTACCTCATCATCTTCTGCATCGGTGTCCAACATGTCATCATCATCATTTTCACTCATTTCAACACCTTCTCCCTCCTGGAAAACATATAATTCTCATCAAACATGTGAAAAAGTGAATAAAACAAATCTTCATCAAAGTTAGTACGATAGTATGCACACACTGCTGAAATGTTACAAGATCATATTTTTTATGTCTTTAGAATCGCAGGAATTTGATATTAAGATTTCTTCCTTCAGACTCCTCAAAATTTCTGAGGTGTCTAACATTATCCCGCTTTGAACCTATTAATAAGCAGCAAGAAATTTGAAAATTACTTTTTGCAGACACCTTAAATCTTATGATTAATTTCAGGAAAGCACCAATTTCTTCTGACAGATGGACAGACAGACAGTAGGGGAAAAAAGTATCCCTCACTTGATAATAGGAATGTATTCAAGAATATTTCTGCAAGAGCAACAACATATTTTAAGTAATTCTTCTGGTAGAGACAGTAAGGTTAGCCTTTGACTGTTGATCTTTATATCAAATTTTTGTTAGGGACCATAACAATAAAGATATGAGTTCTTTATGGACAAAACTCTGTCCATAGAAAATATGATTCTTAGAGAGATGGACCGAAAAATGAATTTTTATTTTCATAAAGGTAAAAAAATGTATTTAAACTTTATATCAATCTTCCATTCCAAATTTCTCATTTCCTCTTTTGGTCCTGATCTCACAAAACCTATTTTCTCCTTACCTCTCCCTGATCACGGTTGCTCATGCTGCCTGTGTGACTTCTCTGACTCTGACTACGATCATCTCCACTCGCCTCACTGTCATCCTCAGTGTTGGACAAACTGTTACTTAGATCATCTACAAAAATAGTGTAGCCATTTTGAAAATTGTATTACCCCTTCCAAACAGGACCTTAGCATCAACCACAACAACCACCATGAATAAGCTTCAGAACAATCGGTTTTCGATTTCATCTTGAATCTTATCTTTATTATGTCACGTATAATTAAAGACAGTCTACCTTGAGACAGTAGGTCAAGGATCAAACAAATGAGTGATCTTTCTGAAGGACAATTTTTTGTCAATGATGTTACTTGCGCCGAGTCTAAAACGACTGGTACCTACCCAATTCCTCTGTTTCCTGTATGGTGGTAAGGCCTCCCTCATCTGCTTCACTGCTGTTTCCCTCATCCGTCTCGATGATAGGTAACACAGATGCTAGCAACACAAAGTACAACAAAAAGATAACACTACACAAACTATTTGTGATTGTGTCTTTCCATGATACCTTTCTGGTATGACAAAAATCACGATGTGAAAGTGCAAAAATATTCTGTATCAAAGTACAGCATAACTGCCTTTTAATGCCCATTATAAAACGAAATGAAGAAAAACAATGGACTAAACATATATTTCTTGATAAGATCAAAATATGATGCCCACAAAATTCTGATTATAAAAGATGTTATTAATTTGTAATATCATATCTGACGTTTGACCTGAAATGTGGACCAATATTACTGAACAACTTTCATCCCACCATGCAATATGTTGTCTTGCTTTAGTGTCCTAATTACCAGAGGTCATGGTATTATACATACAAATACATAACAAATGACATTTATGTAAAGAATGAAACAGGCTAACTTAAAATCTGATCAAGTATCGAGCTTGATGTTGATACTTTTAAATATGAACCAAATCTGTTGAGAGGGCCTAAAGATGTGACATTGATTTGGAACTGCATGTGACCAGACATGACGGAAGAACACTGGTAATATTCTATGCTCTCAATAAAATTACACACCTAGCTTCTGCTTGTATTCATTCTCCAAGTCTTCAGCAGCCTTGCTAGCCTCTTCATAGCTCTGAGGCACCTGTGTCTTGGGGCGGATAGCTTCAATAGTGTCCTGCATCAAGTTTTCAACATCTATGGGGAAAGGCCTGTCTTCAGTCCAAATACTGCACTGTCTTTTGAACCAATAGTACCGCTGAAATAATTTGAGAGAAATTTAAAAAATATCTGATAATCTCCCCCGTTTGAAATGTACAACATCTATCCAAAACTGTTTACTAAGTATGGAATTCTAGTCATGAATATTTATTAACATCTTGTACAGTGTAGTTGTTACATTAATCAAACCAACCAACCTGGAAATAGATGAGGAAGCAATCAAGCTTCTTTTTGCTAGAACCCTTGTCAAAATACTGTCCACAGGTCTCGAGCACCACACAGGTGAGGCGGATACGGAACAGATGTTCTGGAGGGTCAAGAACTGATTGACCATTGTCTGCAAGGCACATATCAATAATCAGTCTTCTCATTAATGACATGGGATGTATACGTACAGGTATTCGAAAAATACATGTCAACCTCATTAATATACCTACTTTAAAACAACAATAAGATACACACTACATGAGCAGGAAATGAAGTTTGTATTCAGCGTTATTACACAACATTTAATGCAGATAACTGGATTCTAATAGTTGATGTGTTATACTGTTACATTGGTTACCAATGTCTTCAAACTGAGGTAATCAAATCTTGGTGTAGAGGGAATGAAAGCATTCCAAAAGAATGACTAATGGATGACCTGTCATTGTGTATAGCTATTGTTAATTCCTTTTATCAAAATGTTGTGGTTTCAGCTAGCTAGTACATAATATCACAGAGACCATCAATAAATTAAACCTAAAATGATCTTTGTTTCGAACCCAAACTCCTATCATAAATTGGACATTGCAATGTTTTTCCAGTCCTTTCAAATTTTATATATGGTTGTTTACTAGCAGGAGTACATGTAAATATATATGTACGGTCATCTCCCTGACATTTTAAATATTTCAAATCTACACCTACAAATCATTTCATTATCATCACCAGAATTCATGTCAAACTATAAACATCATTTTCTTTTAATAGTGCCTCAAAGTTACTTTTTCTTGTGTATAAAAGTGTTAGTTCATTCCAATGTTCATACTAAATAGATACCATCAAAGACCACTCCAAAAGTGATGAAGGAGTAGAGAGTTTTGAAGATAACAGTGGACTCCACCATTCTGTAGTTATACAGTTCTCCAAGGAACTTGGCACAGCTCACACGCCGCTGATTGTACTTGGGATGGTTTACCTAGCAAACAAACAAATTCCATAAAAACCTAACAAAATCAGAGATTGCTTGACACCAAAAAAGACGACAACACTAAATGTTAAATGGTTATGTGGACCTTTGTACATATCTATCATAAATATGAAGCACAATATTCCTAAAGGCCACATCTAAAATTTCAAGTGTTGCCACAGGAGACATATAATGCATTCTTTGTTATTTTGTAATGACTCTAAGGCAGAAGACACAGCTAAATTGGCAAAATTGATTCCTGCACCAGCAAATAACCCCCTCCTCCAGAGAAAAACAGAACATTTACAAAAATTTGGAAGGAGGCCCTGTTGTAGGCAGCCCCTTCTTTCCTTAAGTGATCACCAAATTGGTATAATTGTCACACATAATGTTGACAAATGTATACCATCAAACAACAAATTTGTCTGATACAAAATGCCACAAAATATTAAGAAAGAGACAGAAATAGCTTCAGAGTTATCAAACTTTAGACTATTTGCACATGTATGACACATTTAATACAAATTGTGACTACTCAAGACCACCTGTTGTACATGTAATTGTATGTTCCATGGTGAATTACTTTCTCATAGACTTTCTTTAACATGTTGAAATATCACCTCTATATGGGTGAAAGATTTGAACTGAAATATCACTTCTAAGAGGATAAAACACTAGTTCTGTGATATGTTACCTCCATGCCAATCCTGATGTCTTCCAGTACTCCATCCACAACCTGTATAGCCACATGTTCCTGTGTACATACAAAACAAAAAACTGAATTCTAATGGTTTTTCACCATGAAGTACATTCATATCCAACTCAAGACACATTACTGATGTCTCCAACTTCTAGTCATTGAATATCTGGTCCTAGCCTTTCAAAATAAGAGGTGACAGGGTGTTTTAATATATGATCATCAATGAAAAAGCCCTTCAAATTAATTCTGAATGTATAGGTTTCACTTATGTATGTATTCAGATAATGTTTTAAGTTTGAATATAATTATGTCGACTTTATTTGATCCAAAAATATTTGAAATTTTAAATATTGATTTTAAGGTATGAAAAATCAGATAATTTTAGCATTTTCCTGATCTGAGCATGCCATACTACTGACCAATAGGACAAAATCAGGTGAATTGACGACAGGTTAACTATGAGAAAATACACACATGTATATCAATACCATTAATTACTGCTAACAGAAACCTTGCTCTACTTTTATAAACAATCATAATAATTCTACAGAGAATTTTTATCTTATACAATCTACAATATTATCACACAAAAATAACATGATAAGAATATTTTTCAGTGCATCAGACTTACATGGTAAGGCGCTAGACCAGCCAGAAGGTTGGCAGCACAGTGTATAGAGTTGTAGCGTACATTCCATACAGCTATTAATGACTTAGTGGCATAGAACGCTATCTGTAAGAAACAACAAATTTCGTTAACTCTAGATGATTAGTGAAAAGATTTATGAAAATCGTAGAATGAGGGACATTCACTGAATGAAAAATAACAAATTAAAAACCAAACAAAGTACTCTTACCTCACGATCATCCCAGTTCAACTTCCTCATTTGTCTCAGTACCTGCCATCAAACAATATGTTTTTTAAAAACACAAGTGGTTTATATTTGAAAGATAATAACTGATGCTCATGATGGCACTTTCAACAACCAATCAACGTTTTGAAAACTAAATGACAGCAAAACATACACAAAAGCAAATCAACTTGTTTGAATTTTTTTTTTTTAAGTTGATGAATTAAAACAATACTGCAATGTAATTAAGTAAAAAGAAACACACAAATTAATCAGATACATACAAAATCAAAGCATAGTTTTCTTTTCTTTCATAAAATATCTTTACACTAATTGTTTTTCACTTATCCTGACCTTTTCGGTGGTAACCTTTGAGAGGTCTTTGTAGAGCAGCTTCCTGATATACTCATGTAGAGGGGGCCGGACCTTTCTAGTGGTTTGGGGAACATCTGGCGGGTTACTGTAGTAGAAGGCATTCTCTATCATCGTTGTGTACCGACTGTCTAAGTGTAGAGCTGCCTTTTTCCTCATCATCACATCCTGGCAAAGTTAATTATGACGCAGAAGTGAAATAGGGTGGAAGATCAAACAGATATAAAGTTTGCTGAGTCAATCACCCCGAGAACAGCCAGGGTAGCTGAAGACTACCTAACTGTCCAACATAGGAGAGACCTGTAACATGCCATCTAGAACAATTACGGTAAAGTGTCTTGTCAACGAACAAAGCCATTACATTACAAAAGAAGCTGTTTTCCAGTATTCTGAGAAACACAAACCACCAACGGCAGTAAGCATCGAACCCCGCATCTCAGATCTTCACCCATGGCCATCATTCTAACTGACCGTGTTATCATGACCCTGCACATCATTATGACACTAAAATGTAATGTGTGACAACAGGTGGTGGCAGTGATGATTTCTGAATTATCATGTATACAATGCATTTTATCTGATTACAGTAAAGAGGAGAGTTTACTACAGATCTAACACTAACTTAACAAAGTGAAACCAAGAACCAGCTTAGCTAACAAACGTGATAACTGAAACAGTTACATTCAATATGGAAGATAACAGAAACTTGACACCTAACATACCAGATAAATCTTTGTCCTGTGATGAGAATCTTGAGATCTGTAGAGAAATCTGCCGCAAGTTTCCAGTAAAGAGCATGCCATCTCAATGTTGTGATGAGTAAAATCAAACATCAGTGACTGTAACAAACAAATCCTGTACATACAAACATGTCACTTATATGTGATCTTTATACGTGTATTTAACTTTTCTCATATAAACATGGAACTTTCCCTGCATCTGTTTCTGTAAGTCACTTATTCAAGATTAAAATTTTAAAAGAAATAACTCCAAATAGATTTGACTTTTACATTCATGGTAAGTGTAAATGTCACAAAAGTTGAATGTAGCAATGATAAGTTGGGACGGCAAGTATTGGACTATATCAGAAACATTTTAAATAAAATTGCTAACCTTTACACAATGTAGTGCCTCAGATTTGGGATACAACTTGAACTTGACCAGCTCCCCTGAAAAGTAATACACACATGTCAGTGCATACAGCAGGGCTGATTTATAAAACTGACTTGGAAGACATCAAATAAGATCATAATGTTAAGATTATGGAAATATTTAGTACATTCATATACATTATTTACTAAAAATTGGAGTGCAAAATGCTAATTGCTCTTGGAAAAATGTTTGTGTTTTTTTCATGTGTGAGTTTTCTTATTTTTTTTTTTTTTTTAATATTTTCATACCTGAAATCAGTGATTACTGTTCTGCAGTTGAATAGCAATGATTTCATGTTCTACAGTTGAATAGCAATGATTTCAATCAAACTATGTTCATATTAACAAGTACAATGTATCTAACTCACCAATAAACCTCACAGTTTTTAATTTGGATTCAATGTTGATCTGGTCCTTTTTTCTTACCTTCACAAATGAAGAAAAACAAATTGATTAACAATAGCTATCAGTTACAAAAAGTGATATCATTTTCACCAGCAAAATAGAGATTAAGATTACGTCAAAAGCCACTGAATATGTAATATACTGTAGTGAATAGAAAATTTCCGCTTATTCACTGCATTTCTTTTAAATTCTTACAATTCACATTTGTAAGATTTTTTTTACCTACCAGCAATTATATTCTCCTGACTTAATATTATCATACAAAATCTTGTGAAATATATATTTTGTAACATTGTAGATTTGTATCCACATAGATGACTTAATAAACATTCCTGGTGATCCTTTCTCTAACAAAAGTTTGCTATAGTACACTTACATGCCACTTAAAGTCTCCTTTGAGAAGCTGGACGAGATCATTAGCCACATCAGGCATACACGGGTACAGTGTCGCAACCATCCGAGAGTAAAATGGCAGCAGGTCATACCTAATATACAAAAATCTCTGCTTCCTTTACATGGTTACTACATCAAATGTCCCAAAATTTTGTTATTAACACATAAATTATCATTATCAATATAAACTTGAAATTTTTGAATGAAACCGATTAAAACATAGTAAATGTAAAATTTTCATATTACAACTTAAAATTAGATAGTTAAGTTTATTGTTGCTTTATGTCCTATTAACAACAAGGGTCATTTAAGGATGTGCCAGGTTTGGTTGGTGGAGGAAAGCCGGAGATCCCTGGGAAAAACCACCCACCAGCGACCGATATCTGACGATTGACCCACGTAGGCCCCTTACCCTCACCTATGGTGGATGACCCACGTAGGCCCCTTACCCTCACCTATGGTGGATGACCCACGTAGGCCCCTTACCCTCACCTATGGTGGATGACCCACGTAGGCCCCTTACCCTCACCTATGGTGGATGACCCACGTAGGCCCCTTACCCACACCTATGGTGGATGACCCACGTAGGCCCCTTACCCACACCTATGGTGGAGGGCCAGTGATAAAGACGTTCGGAGGCTTTAACTACTTGGCCATGGAAATTTAGAAAAAAAAATTGTAAATTGAATTTAATGCAACATAAAAAGGGAAAATAATAATTTCTGTATGGATTATCACTGAAACTCCAATCTGTATATCCAAAGAGAATGTGCAAGTCCTACCTGGTTCTATGTACAGTGAATAAAGCCTTCACCAACTTCTTCCTGTTGGCTTTATTGTTGAAATTCATACAAAACTCTATACTGGCCTGAAACATAGTAAAGCATTCTCAAACTCATTATTCCATTGGATTCTATATGTGAAAAAAATCTGTTCGTAAATTATATTTTTGATGTTCAGTCAGATTAACATTTGTTACATAACCATCAATTTCATTTCCAGAACATGTTTTTTAAGAAGTATTTACAGCCTACTTTCTTTATACACTACATAGACATCTACAAATATATTGGATCAAGTTGTTAAGTTTTTTTTTCTAATTAAATATCTAATGAAATTAATTTTCAAACATATTCAAATCAATAAAATGGAAGTTCTTATAACACAACCAGTAGAAGATTTGAGTGTGATGTTTATGACTATACCGTCACCTTCACCAGGGAAATGACAAGTGAGGAGCATACTAGCTCTGACGTACATTCAAATTAAAGCATCAGTTCTTCCAGCTATTATGACAACACATTTAAACTGCAAATGTTACATACACTGATCACTAAAACCACAAGAAGACAAGTTAAAAGTGTCAATTTGTATGTATGATGGCTGATAAGCAGGACAAGCAGAAACATTTTTTACTGGAATAAATGAACAATATATTTATCCTGTTGTAAAAAGATATTGTTGTTGTGACCCTGACTTTGATTCTTCAATGGTAGATGCTAAAAATATTTTGTTTGATGATTTTGGTGCAAACTCCTGTCATGAACTTCCAAACAAGCTGAACCTCCAATTACCCAGAAATTCTGTTCCTATGACCTTAACCTCTTACAGATGACCTTAAGTAACTTTCCAGTGACCTCTAGTAGCTGATGTCAGTATTACCCATGGCATTTTGTTGGAAGTGTAAGTCAGTGAAAGGAGAACAAGACATATGCCAGAATTTTACAATTGTATCAAGATTATGTAGTTGTTATCTTGACATTCGAATGACCTCTAGAAATTGATAACAGGTCGTGTACAGTGTTCATGACTTTAATTGAAAACCTTAGTCAGGAACTAAATGTTGACACTATGTCACCAATACATGCTCCTTTCTGGTGTATTAAACAGCCATTTTATTATCAGAACATTCAAAGAATACAAATTATCATGTTGTGATGTTACCTTGTCCAGTAGGTCCCTGTTGACACAATTTGGTAGAGATAAGAGATACGCATCAAACTGGACTTTCATCAAGTTGCCTGTGTCAGCATCATCTTCAACTAAACAAAGCATTATTTCATCACTTTCAAGACAATCAGATATCAAATCTATTTCATCTTCATGTAGGGAGATAGCATCCAAATCATTACTACTTTAGTCACTTGTTTAGCAGGAATATTTTCACAAAACACATTTCATCCATCACATGCAGCATCATTTTGGACTGGTAGACACATTCACCATTTGGTCTGAACTCATCACCGAGCAGGATTGTGGTAGATACTGTCTCAATGAAAATTTCAAATTAAATGTGTCAGTTTAGCAAGAATTAGTTTAATTACAATATAGATTAATTTGTTAATTGGTAAGTGAGCTGTGTGGTTTGTTCTAAATGTACTTACTGTCAAGATCATGAAGAGCACTGTAGTCCTCTTCTACTGTATGTCCGGCCTCGTCCTCCTGATCTTTGGTCTTGGCAGCCTCTGCCTCTGCTTCCTTGTTCTCCACCTCTGCAATTTGCTGTTCTGTCTCCATTTCTCGTTCCACATCCTCCACCTTCAGGTTCTCCATGTCTGATATACAACAACATTGTCTTACACACAGACCACAATGTGTTGGGGTGTGTGTATGTGAATTCTAATATACAATATTTCTAACACAAATCTTATGAAATATATATATGATTCTATAGACAGTGTTTTTCAATAATTAAGCTTGAACCTAGATACTTTGGCACATTGTTTCAACAAACCTACTCCTCAATCATGATAAAAGCTCTGCTCCATCATTAATTCTTTAATAAGAGTGCTATTTACAGATAAAACAGATTTACCTTCTTCCAATCCTGTCTCTACATCTTTGGTTTCATCCTTGACAGTACTCTGTTCACTTTCTTTATAACAGATCTATCAAAAACATAAAATCAAAATAATTATAAAAATCATTCAGTGATATTATACACTTTTTCTTTTAAATCATATTTTTGCCAGCGAAATCTAGGAAGTTAATGATTAGATAAAGACTGCAGTGATGATATAAGAAATTTTATATGACCATTCGTAATGATATAGCTTTTCCAATATCTAATAATATCATAACTTTCACAGTTTTGACTAACCAGAATGGTAATTTCTTATCACTACATTAAAATTTAGTGAAGGGATAGTGAATTAGATGTTTTCAGTACAAATATTGCCATATAAATAATTTGATACATGACTGTACTTTGATGTACTCACCCCAGGTATAAATGCTCTGAGATCAGGCAGGGATTCGTAAAAAGCTCTAGCATCCTCATCCTCAAACAGTGTACTGTCACCCACATACTGAAACTACATAGAACACAGTGTTGATCATAAGGTTATACTTCTAGAGTAAAATTAGGTATCAATACATAAAATTGTAAACATAAAATGCTAACAAATCAGTCTAACTGATTAGGGTGCATTATCTCCATCCTAAACCTTTGACACTAACCTCTGCATTCTTTGAAGGATCAAACACATCAAATCCAGACTCTTCATCTTTTAGCAGATCTAAAACGAAAACAAACATTTAAATATCTTCTTCTGAACAGGTCAAGTTATTCTAAGTATTTGTAAAAAACAAAAAAATCATACATTTCATTTCCTTCACATATTTAACTTTTTTGCAGAATGTATAAAATCATTAATAAGAGTGAATATCATTATATAAAATCAACTCGAATGACTTCAGTGTTATTTGTAATATGACCTTAACAGCATTTCCCAATAAACTACCACATTACCTTCCTCTGGTAAATCTGGCATGTCTTCATCCAACAGATCCTACAACGAAGGTGCGAAATTCTGAGATTGGATCAAAATATCAAAACATCAATGTTCAACAAATAGTCTAGCAAATAAATTTCTAATATTCCAAAATAGAAACTGACACTTCAACAGGTAAAATAGCTTAATGATCAAAAGGAAATTAGAGCAAACATCATAATTATCTTTATCCAGTGAATTGAAATTGATTTGGTGAATTTTTTCTCTCAAACTTTAATTCCTGTCACAAAAATTATCAATTGACACATTGCTTATGATACCATACATGCAGATTGCCCAATAAATTTTTTTTTCATACATTCAATTGAAAAAGAGAGTGAATATCTATAGTTCCTTAATTTCAAAACAAATAATGTAAATTACTGATGTCTGTTATATAAATAATATAAATGAATATAAACTTCCTATTTGCAGATGGTTCCTTGCATTATACTTACTGCATACACAGATGTATTGCCATGAAGCTTTTGATAGGCAGCTAATGCATTTTCATAGCTTTCTCGTCTCTCGTTGCTCAATTCTCCCTTTGTCTTACGATAAATAACAAAATACATTTAGTGTAATTATTACAACAATTATTCCTTAAATAAAAACCCAGAAGTAGTGTTATAAAAACTATCTTTAAGCATAACACAAGAAAATAGTGAAATTCTGATGTCATGAATAGTGCCCTGGTACTTTTGCTTTGTAAAGGATCTTACTTGTGTTAATAAATCACCCCAACAGTATCGTACAATTAATGGTATGTATAACTTTACAGTACATGAATATAAACACATTAATTCTTTATCTATAGCACTACAGCACTTGTCAATAAAGCTGTATTTCCAATGAAAACACCTGAAATACTCACCTGTAGAGTCCTGCGATTGTGTCTCTCAATGCTTTTCAGGTCTTTATAGACTCGTATCAGGTGTTTACAGAGAGACAGAAAGTAGTCCTTCATAAGATTTCTACAGGCCTTCTGTTTCTCTGGCTGTAGCATCTGTAGAATATACAACATTTGGCTTCACTCAATAGAACCTATAGAGGCTCTTTAAGAACACTTGGATGTGGAATGTTGATAAGTTCAAGCAATTTGAAGCAATCTGACTTCCACGACTATCAATAAAGCAGCCTAAAACTGCAGAACAAGAATGACCTGGTCTACATGTCAAAAATTTCTTTCATGATGAGCACCATTTTGCCTAAACAGAATATCTTTTGGACAATTGAAAATATAAACTATGTAAAAAAAAAAAAAATTCCGTTTGACACAGAATAATAACAATTGTCTGAAAAATTTCCATATCTGTCATCAATTTCCTCTTACCTGACTAACTGATATTTCCAGTGAATACTTTTCAGCAAGCAATCTATTAATGAAAAAAATAAGCTATTACATCAAAACCTCAAAAATTCAAAATATGGAAAACTTTGGTTCATTCAAATTGATGATGTTTTTAGTTCCTTTAAAACAAAACAGTTTTGCTCCTTTCTTTTATAAAACTGAGATATATAACAATATTATAACATTGAAACGGATTTTCTATCTGAGGTAAAACATTTTTCTGTTTATCAAGATCAACCATCAGATATAACTGCAAAACAGGTGTGTGTGGATCAAACTGTAAATGATTGTCTCAGTGTTTTGAAAGATGTTTGACCAAGGTAAATTTTTCACACAGGAGTTAATAGAAAAGAAATTTGAATAATAATAAAAAAAAAAAAAAAAAGCAAGTAGGAAAGGCCTAGGATTAATAAGAAAAAATTGGCTTTAACATATATTGTGTATTTGTGTTCTGTTTTTGTTGGTATATATCTGAGTAATGAAGAGGATTAGGTAAGGAATGGCTCATCAGTTTTGATATAAATAATGTTCAATCATTAGAACATTTTGTAAAGCAATACCAACCAACCTTTTACACAGCATCCTACACTGTGCTACTAACTTGTACTACCTGGGTACAAATTTTTACACAGCATCCTACACTGTGCTACTAACTTGTACTACCTGGGTACAAATTTTTACACAGCAACATGTACTGTGCTACTCACCTGTACTACCTGGGTACAAATTTTTACACAGCATCCTACACTGTGCTACTAACTTGTACTACCTGGGTACAAATTTTTACATAGCATCCTACACTGTGCTACTCACCTGTACTACCTGGGTACAAATTTTTACACAACAACCTGTACTGTGCTACTCACCTGTACTTTCTGGGTACAAGTCCCATATAATCATCGCCACAGTGTTTACAAAAACTAGACAGGATGGCTAAATTGTTGTGTTCTTCATGGTCATTATTGACAAGTTGCTCCAACTGCTTGCCCACCACAGCCAAACCCTCTTTCTTTGAGAAAAGTCCCACAGACACTAACTCCGCAAAAAATCTCAGGTCCACACGGTATTTACTGGGATTACTTATCTGCATGATAATATCATCATGATCAAAATTAGAATGCACATAAAGAATCTGTGAAACTTTAAATAGTGGTCAAGATGGAAACACGTTATTGCATATTTGCTATAATGCTAATCAACCAATCTAATTCATCTAAATGTACAAATCATTGTTTACTATTCATTTTTGTCTCTAGCATTACGAAACAAATCATTATGATTCTAAAAGAAATAATTGTTTTATATCTATGTTCATTAACTATTCACAGATAATCATTCTTCAGTTATATTTAAGTTGGTACAAAATAACTAATCTGTTAAGTTGTATACCCTTTCCCCTCTCACCTTATCCTCCTTCTTTCCAAGAAGGAACTTCTGGATGTTTTCAAGTAGAGCAGCAGGAAATTCATGGTAGCGCTGGAACATGACGCTACTTATATGAACAGCACAGGGAATGTCTGACATCTTCAGTTTAGCTTCTGTGATTGCTGCAGCCTGAAAGGAAATTGTAATTGAGGGTACTAATTGCTTGTTTGTTTGCTGGGTGTATCACTGTGTAAACAGCTTGGGTACTGATTTAATATCATTTTTTAAATACCTTAAAAGTGGTCTGTTAAACAGCTGGTAATAAAACATTACACAAAGAGGAATTCATGACAAATCCAAAGAAGATAAATTATTTTACAGGCTACAAATTTACTTCTGATTCATAGAGAACAGAGCAAATCCATGTTGGAGAGAGATCCTACTTACCACTTCACCAACATATTTAGTCAAATTTAGGCCGTTGAACTCTCTTGTCAACATGTCTTTTTGGGATTCTGTCAGATTTTTCTGAAATTGAATTCATGATTAACAATGCTGTGCTCTTATAGCTTAAATTCAGTCGGAAATTTCAATTTACTCTAAATTCATTTATCATAAATATTATATCATATTATTATATAAATTATGGTCAGAATACCCATTTCAAATACAAATACCATGAGGTTTGATTGAGTCATTTTGTTCTTCCTACCTTTGTCAATGAAAGTAAGATGACCAATATTCATTTATCTTTTTTACAAAACTATAAAAACATTCTTTGTCAAATATCATTCATTTTAATTGACACTAACCATATCACATATCAATTAATCACAGATTGTACTAACCCAGTGATTTTTTAACTGTTACTTATTGATAACTATCCAAATAAGAAAATAAGATGCAATTTTCCTGTTTCAATTTTACTCAACAACATGAAGGATATTGTGTTTCTTCAAGTATTTAAACTATAAAACTGTGAGTTCAATCTTACCAATTTCTTTACAAAAGCTGTATTTTTCTTCAAATTTGAATCAAGCTTAGTGAAAAACCGTTCATCTGGTCTTTGGTCTACAATAAAAACAAAACATTGGCGATTAAACAGCTATACAAAAGGACCACAACTTCTGTCTGTGAACTGAACATGAAAATGCTCTTAATATTTACAAATCATATGTAACTTTTTACATTAAAATTTAAGACATTATACACCCATAACATTTTCACATTACGTTATATACATGCAGGTCTCAGCTCCATTTTATATTAACATTCTGGTAAGTAAAATAAAAATCATTCACCATAATATACACTGTGCACCTTAAATGTTAAAACTTATTGATCATAAATAAATAAACTGCCTGTAAAAAGTTGCTACAAATTTCATAACACTTTTTTGAATATATACAAGATAATGTTGATAAACTCATCAATAGAGTTTTTCAATATCTTTAACACACCTGCTGCTGCCAGGTTCTGTTCTCTCATTAATTTTTTACTCTCCGTCCTTTCCTTACATTCTGAGATATAGTCTTGTATACATTTCTGAAAGGGAAGTAAATGTTGATTCATATCAGTTGAAATCTTACAGTACGAGTGAACAATATTTTCAGTGTTAAAAGCTGGGTAAATCAGAAGTAGCCAGTTATTCACCAACTCTAAACCAACAATTTTCGGGGGAAATGTATAAAATCAAAATATCATTTTTTATTTAGCCAGCTATCTCCTAAAACCAACCACTTGTTTTAAATCTGTTTTAAAACTCTGATTTTACATAAAAAGATCAAGAACTGCAAATTTAAGTTATTAAATAGTGTAAACGACAACCAGAGCATAAGACACACACAATTAGAGATACAAAATCATATAATATTGTAATGTATATGGTACAAAATCACATTTTGCATAATATACATTTGATGAAATAAGGCATTATATCTTATCAAGTCATACCTCATTTCATAAATATACTTACAATTTCTTCTTCCTTAAGTCGCTGTGCTTCTTCTTCTTTCCTCTGCAGAAAGTGAAGCAGAATTTCATATATATTTGCTATTTAGCAATACTTTGAACCCTTTCAATTTTGTTTCACTTACAATTTCACTGCCATATGATATCTAAGGTGATGAAGAACACTATGAAACTTACCATTTCTTTACAGTAGATTAACATGAAAGTGTTTGGAAAGATGATCATAATATAATTGACATATTTTCCAATATTCCAAACAGGCAATTTTCTTCATCAATCTGTAGTTTCCTTGCTAGCTAGGACATTCATGATTTTAAGCAATGTTAACTCTGATAGTTCATACTTTAATTTATTTTCACAAGCATAATTTTGTTTAATTCAAACAGATGAACAACATTTATTTAATTTTGTTTGTACTGACTGATGGTTTACTACATAATTTATAAAACATGAAAGGGAGCTGTTTTAAATAATTAAAGATCAGCTGAATCACTTTGAAAATCTTTAATAAATAAAAGAACCTTTTCCTCTTCTTCTTTCTTTCTTATTTCCTCAAGTCTGATTCTCTCTTCTTCCTCTTCTTTCCTCTTTTTCTCTTCTTCCTCCTTCAGCCACTGAGCTTCTAGATCTGCTGCTGAACTCATCTGAACAGACTTAGCTTCTTTTGCTGACGATTGTTTCTTTTGACTGAGTGGATGTGTAAGAATATTTCAAAATATTATCAGCAATATTTACATAGTGATATTAAACTGTAAATGTAAAGATATAGCACATGAATGTTGAAGCTGTAAAACTGATTTTAAAACATGTATAATCAAAATTATCCAATACATTAAAATTTTGTTATAATAAAATAAAATGATAAAATGATGATAAATGAATTGTGTCTAGAAATCTGTTTACATTAAGATTAAAAGAGGTTCGACAAATTAAGTGGCCATGGAAAAGTTTGACCAACGATCAGTTGTCAGATGTATTTATAGCAAATAGGAATGCAATCTGTGGGACAGATAAAGAGAGTAACATTCCTTACATTTCAGAGAGTTTTAGGATTTTAAAATATCATCATGTCAAGTTGTGTTTATTCTTTTATGTGTATTTCCTGGAAGAATTCTAGCAAATTACAATCACCTTAGTTATTTGAGTTAAAGCTGCAAAATACTGCATTGTGCAAATGCTGATGTGACACAGACCAATAGGGTGCCAGAAGGATGTCATATAATCTAGAATGTGTGTAAACTACTGTGAATACATTCCAGATCAACAATGAGCTAATGGGAGACCATTACACAAATCTGTAAACATTAATGAAATAAAGCAAGCAGGTATGACAAACTCAACATCCTGCTGCTTTGGCAGAATCCTTACTGTAAACTAAGTTAATCCAAATCTGTTAAGGAGTGAAAAACTTATAATCCATGGCAAATTACTGATAACAAATACAGAATAACATAATGTTATTAGTTTTCACCTTTCTCTCCCATCTCCCTTCTCTCTATCTTCTCTTCTGTCCTTAGCATCAGATTTCCTGTAAAATAAAATGCAAATAAAGAAATGTACATTTCTTCAGCAGAAGAACTTACTATTATGATGTTAAATTAATATAACAAAAATATATAACAGTCATGATATGCCTGGATGATATGTGATTTTTACCTAGGTGTATGTTCTCTTTCTCTGTTGGAACCTCCAGATGCACCTCTGCCACCCCCTCGAGAACTACTGCCACTTTTCTCCCTGCTGCCTCCATCTCCTCCTCCCCTGTTTCCACTTCTCCCTCCTCGGCCACCACTCTCACGGTCAGTCCCTCTATCTCCTCCCCGATCACCAGATCGATATCCACTACGATCATACTGAGCATTATTACGATTACGATTAGTCTCCCTCACATTGTCATGGCCCCCTGACCCTGTCTTCCTGCTGTCATTTTTGCCACCCTTGTTTGGGGTTCCTGATGTACCAGACTTTGAGCCTTTGGCCGTCACTCGTTCATCATGTGCTTTGTTGCTAGGCTTGCCTTCACTGCTCTGCTTAGCTCTCGCACCCGAGGAGTGTTTAGATCCATTCTCTTCCTTCTTCTCAGTGCCCTCCTTTTCACTCATTTTATTGTACTTGACCTATTAATGAAGACATAATTTTGAATCTCACATTAGGTATATCCATATTGTTTATGATCTAATGAGTGTTGATGCACAGAAAAGGCGTGTGTATGGTTGCTGTCTGTGAACAGGTTGGGTACAACCCCGCATACAGGGAATAGTCCTGCATTTGAGTAATACTTACTGCTTTGAGTAATCAGTTACTTACTTAAATTCTAGTTCATTTTGAAATAGAAAAATGTTAAGGTCTTTTAAACATTGCAACAAAAATGGTGTAATACTTTTGATAAGGGGTTTAACAAGTACCGGAGTCACCTGTTCTGGGTCGGTTTTGATCCTGGCACGGTTTGGAAAATGTGTACCTAGTTACTAGGGTAAGCCATACCTATTATACTATTGTAAAGTTCACTATAAAATGTTCTCAAGTACCCCTGTACTCTTGTATTGTAGGCTGTCTGTTGATAAGAAACAATGTTTAATTTACATGTGAACATATATCCTGCAACTGACACTGCCATTGTTGGAATACACCTGCCACATATATTTTTGCTGTATTCGGCAGTGAAAAGGGCTGTATTTGTGCATGTGCAAGTAATTTCGACAGAATAACCATCTGAATTTACTTTTAACATTATGTTTAGAAATACAAATAGTGGTTGAAATAAGCGGTGTTTCATGTTGTTATTATTTTTTAATTTGTCATTTGGCAAAATTCAGCATAACGTCAGTGTCAGATAAACATAGATTGAACAACACAACTGTTTAAGTTTCCATAGTCTGATTTTCAATCAATGTTGTAAGATAAGTTTAAAAAGACATATTTGTCTCGCCACTTTTTTCTCGTCACTTTTGTCTTTCTTCACTCTCTCCAAGATAATGCTTATATTTGAAGACACTGGCCATACATTCTTTATATATCTGCTATATGAACGGCTACATTGTTGTACTGTCAGTTGACACTTTCTCATGGCTGAAAAACGTGCAACAGCCTTGACCTATCACTCAGAATTTCTCAGTCATGCACACAAACTAACCATTGTCAACCAAATAATATAGCTTCCCTTATAAGTATATGATAACTCTAACTCTACAAAGTCTGAAAACATATCCTAGTATTTTCCTGACCAAATTGATAATGTTCAGACAACTGTTGGTTAGCTGATAATACTTGAAAAATCAGCATTTATCACCAATACCATCCTTTCTTTAATTTGTGGGGATCATGTTACTAAAAGTTAAGAGTAATTGGTTACAGGTTTGATTTCAACGGTCGGGGGGAAAATTGTGCACCCATGACAACCCTGCTTTTGATATGGTCCAATAACAAATGCAACATTGTACATATTTACAAAGGAAGTGAATAATTCAGATGTCTTCGTTTCATAAAAATCACAAACATTATCACCTGCACTGCTTAACAACTGCTTATAGTGGGGGTAAAAATACAACATGTTAATTCCTGCTCATCTACGACATTAGCACTGAAGGCTCCCACTGACTATACAGTATGGCCAATGGAGAACACAGTCAGTGATATAAATTGTCATTATAACACAGTGCTAGATATATGCAATTATATACATCGTCACATTGGCTATTTTGCGATGTTAAAAAGATGACACCATTCTTTATTGCAATTTTAAAAATAACTTTATGAGTATCTACTTTAAACTGACCATGCGTATGAGAAACGAACTGTTTACTCAAAGTAGTAACTATCCCTCAAATGTATGCCTATTATCCATGTGCGGAGTAGTGCCCAACATGGTGATAACAGCTTTAAACTGTATATAGCTGTTGCTTTAGACTTTTGGGAGATTGGGAGCCGATATTCAGATAAGATAATTCACTGGTTAAGTTGTACAACAGCATGCTAAGACACACTTTCTTTTAGGTTTATGAGATGGTTTCTTTTTAAACTGAAAGTGACGTGCTAAAAAAGCCAGGGCGAAATGTTTGATCGGTTTTAAGTTTCAGCTACCAGCACCTTACTTTGGGGATCAACTGCAATCAAACTGTATACAGACATTAACTGCGATCAAAGATGCACACAAAATGTGACATTTACCTCACATTATGGATGTTATAATCTGGCATCAAACAAAACACGAGGATGAATCGTTCAAGTTTGTTTACAAATTTCTGCAAATATGGCGTCTGCACACACATTGAACATCCACAGTTTCGTACAAATAAAATTTCCTTATTGAAAATTAAAAAAAGAATGAATACTAAATGAAATGAACATAGAAGTTCTTTTATTTAGATGAATGATTTATAGAAATTGAGTAATTGCTCTACTACTTCAGATAGATTCGAAAATAGATAAAGTTTTTCACTTTGGCGCCAAGAACGAATGTCAACAACAGAGCTGGAAGCAGCTGAAGTAAGCGTCGTCTTACTGTGTAATGTGTTGTTTATGTTGTAAGTATTAGTACGATTGCTGTGAACGTATGTCATATCCTAATTCAAGAATACTTCATTCATGATGGAAAATCGGATCTTTTAGTCTAGATGAATGTCAAGAATCGGTGATGATATAATTACTGTTCATTATTACTCGTGTAAAAGAAACAGGTCAACGAGGCTTTTACACAGTACCAAATACGGTCATTGTCACTCAGCTGTCCAGGGTATGCTTCTCTGATTCAGTTGGTAGACTGTGGATTGTCATACGTGAGACCAGGATTCAAATTCAGGTTTGACCACTTAGCAGGAATGTGTATTTTTCTGTCCTTTCACATTCACCCAGTGAAATCTCCGGGTTTGTTGGTATTTGGAGTCTCGGGATGGATTAAGTATATCTTGAAAAAAGGGAGGGAATAGTGGAAAGGGAGTGGGTCAGCATTCCTAGTGCATAGACTAGTGTTAAATATGACCTATCACACTCAGCTAGTCATGTATCACCATGCTGGAGACCTGGGTTCAACTCTGTCAGGGCACTTTGCACATACATATTAATTTGACTATCATACACCACAACCCACAAACTAATTTTACTTTTAAATTTTTGTTTCAGTTGATATGTGAATTTATGCACTAGAAAAGAGCGCTAAAGATTTCAAAGAAGAAAGACAAAAACTTCACAGCTGAAAGAATTGATCCATAGAATGGCAGGTTGGTATATAAATAAATAAGTATGATCAGCTGAAGTTTGATTTTTTTTTGTTGGAGGTAGGATAGACGAGATACATTGCAAGAAATCTACATATTTAGGTCTGATATATGATTATTTATTAAATAATATTTAACTATGATCAATCTCGAAGGAGATACAGATGACAGTCATTTACAGGATAGCTTGTTTCCTCGGCCACGGCAAGTGGATAGTGGGGAAATTTGGCATACTTACCCATTTTGTTTGCAGTTTCCTGGCTTTATCAAGCAGTGAACAATCAAGGTCCTTTTGGGGTGCTATCTCTTTGTAGTAGCTGTTTGCATCCTCATTGAACATAATATGGGAGGCCAGTTGCATATTATCTAGAACAATTAGGATAAAATGTCTTTACCAAGGACACAGCCATGACAGCATAGATCAGCACATTTCTTAGCTTCCATCAATGATAGTAGCAGTAATAAGTATGTGTACGAGTGTTTTGTATTTTCAGAAGAGGATTTAGATCTTGAAACACTAACATCATTGCTAGAAGATGATTCTGATGAAGAAGAAATCCAACAGAAGACAAATAAAGATAACCAACCTGACAAAGCTCAAGGTTAGAAGTAAATTAAAAGATTTTTTATCATGAATTCATTGTGTTTTAATGTATTTTAAAGTATTGATGACTATCAGAAAATGAAAATGGATATTGTGATAGCATGAAGATTTAACTTGTCATATATTAACAATACATCACAAAGAATACTACAAGCACAACTTGCTGCATCATTGAATTCCGTGTTTTTGTATCCAATAGATTCTGATGATGACTATGACATAACATCAATAGCAGCCTTTCTGGAAGATTCAGAAAGTGATGAAGATATCCCAAAAAGTGGAGAACCTGGCACAGAATGTGGTGAACCCAACAGAAAAAGTGAAGAACATGATATGCCAAAAGGTGCATTGATTTTCTGTGGTAAAATAGAAAATATGTGATAAATTATTTTTTCTGACCCTCTTTTACAGCGGAAATGAAAATATTGCTTTGACAATATTTTTTTTTCAGTTTGATGCTACACAGGAAAGCTGCAATATGTGTATAGAAAGAGGGAATAAGGTTCATAGTCAAAATTTATATTCAATTTAATCTATAATATACATAAATATCAGTCATGCATGTAAACACATTTTTAGGTCATCTGACCCGAAGGGTCCGATGACCTATAGTCATCATGCTTCGTCCGTCGTCGTCCGCCGTGCGCCGTCCGTAAACTTTTCATTCAAACGACTTCTTCTCAATAATTGGAAGGCCCAGGCAACTAATATTTGGCCTGTAGCTTGCTTTGATGAAGCCCTACCAAGTTTGTTAAAAAGAATGATCTTGACCTTCATTCAAGGTCACAGGGGTCAAATGTCTTAAAATCTTCAAACGACTTCTTCTCAATAACTGGAGGGCCCAGGCAACTAATATTTAGCCTGTAGCTTGCTTTGATGAAACCCTACCAAGTTTGTTCAAATGAATGACCTTGACCTTCATTCAAGGTCACAGGGGTCAAATGTCTTTAAATCTTCAAAGGACTTCTTCTCAGTAATCAAAAGGCCCAGGCAACTAAAATAAGGCCTGTAGCATGCTGGGATGAAGGACTACCAAGTTTGTTCAAATGAATGACCTTGACCCACTTTAAAGGTCACAGGGGTCAAATATGTTAAAATCTTTAAACAACTTCTTCTCAATAACCAAAAGGCTCAGATTGCTGATATTGTGCCTGTGGCATGCTGGGATGAAGGGCTATCAAGTTTGTTTAAATGAATGACCTTGAACAACTTTCAAGGTCACAGGGGTCAAATATGTCAAAATCTTTAAATAACTTCTTCTCAAATACTAGAAGGCCTAGGGGGCTAATACTTGGCCCATAGCATGCTGGCATGGAGCCCTACAAAGTTTGTTCAAATGAATGACCTTGGCCCACTTTCAAGGTCACAGGGGTCAAATATGTTAAAATATACAAAGGACTTCATCTTAATAAGCAAAAGTCTATGAGTGCCAATATTGGGTCTGTAGCATGCTGGGAGGAAAGGCTACCAAGTTTATTTAAATGAATGACCTTGAACAACTTTCAAGGTCGCAGGGGTCAAATATGTCAAAATCTTTAAATAACTTCTTCTCAAATACTAGAAGGCCTAGGGGGCTAATACTTGGCCCATAGCATGCTGGCATGGAGCCCTACAAAGTTTGTTCAAATGAATGACCTTGGCCCACTTTCAAGGTCACAGGGGTCAAATATGTTAAAATATACAAAGGACTTCATCTCAATAAGCAAAAGTCTATGAGTGCCGATATTGGGTCTGTAGCATGCTGGGAGGAAAGGCTACCAAGTTTATTCAAATGAATGACCTCAACCCACTTTCAAGGTCACAGGGGTCAAATATGTTAAAATATACAAACGACTTCTTCTCAACAAGCAAAAGTCCATGAGTGCTGATATTGGGCCTGTAAGATGCTTGGAGGAGAGGCTACCAAGTTTGTTCAAATGAATGACCTCAACCCACTTTCTAGGTTTGGCTTGCTTTTTGTCAGATGACCGTTAAGGCCCATGGGCCTCTTGTTGAACTGTACAATATATTCTGTCTTATCCTGTTAGAACTGTTCTTCCATGAAACTTTCATTCTATGATGAAGCCTCAGGTGTTTGGAGGTCATATTAATGATAATCACTGAACTGAAAATCATTGGACATATCTTTATAGATGAGACTGAGTCAGCTGAGGACATGGGAGAGGACACAGAGGAAAGGCAAACAACAATACAAGAGAACACAGGAGTCAATCCTACATCTCCTGTACAATCTGCTGACACTATTAATGCCTTACAGAGTAAGATATGTTTTAGTCTTTATGCCTACCTATGGAGGAACTTCTATTGCCTGTAGTGTATTAAATAGTTTGTTGTCATCAGATTCCTGACTTTATATCTTACAAATAATTACTCCGTTTGCAAATACAAATGCAAATTAAATTTCATTCAGCCTTACATGAGGTTTAGTAGATATGTACACTATTTCTGTGACAGGAATTGTGTATTGTTTGCCATACTTGTAGTGTCATAATTGTTAGTATTGAGTGTAAACATTGAAGTATGTTTAATGTATATACTCTGTGAGGTTTTCTCTGTTACTTTAAGTATATATTGTAATTGTGTAGGAAAACAAGATAGTTCATGTGAGATTACAATTTTTTTCAGTTAAGCAACCATCTCCATCTATCTTACCCCAAAAGTATAATTTGAAATCACTTTCATGTTATTTTGCAAGTAAATTATTTGTTTTAAAAAATCTTATTTTCCCATGCCATTTTTTAAAATTTATTTGGTTCAATTGTCAAAACCTGTGATATTTGGCAATTTATTTTATAATACAACAATTTTGTGATAGAATTTCTCTTTTTTCTCCAGGTCAGATATTAATGATGCAGAAACAGATGGAACAGATGCAGAATATGTTATTGCTGCAAAAGTCCCAGAGTAGCCAAGGGGGAACAACTCCAAACTCCAAAATGGCACATCATCAGCCCAAGTCTAAGTCAAGTCCTACAAATGATTTAACAAAAAAGACAACTCATTCATCTCATGCAGAAGGAAAACCTAAATCTAAAGAATCCAAATCAAGTTCTGAAAATAAACCTAAGAGATCTCCAATGTCTCTCCCAAACAAAGCACTTGGTTCAAAAGATTTCAGATCTCTCCAGTCACCACAGCATAAAGTTAATAAGAAATCTTCAACATCAGATGTCATCCATAAAGCCAAGCAAACCTCAAAGCAAGCAGGTATTTCCTTTTTGGTGTCAGAACTTTTTTTGATTACATTTTAGGCCACCTGATCACAGGTCATGGTAACATAGCTGTTGTTGGTCATGTGTTGTGTATTAACTTTTTTTGTGAACATTATAACTAGAGTGAACGGGAACTAATTTTGATAAAGCTTGATGTGCACTCTTACATGAATAAAAATCTCTCATGAGTTCGACAGTGGGACCCATTTTATTGTAATTTACAGAATTATGGCCCTTTAAAGTGTAATTACCTGTGGTAGGAACACAATAACTTCAGTAAGTAAAAAAAGATTTTGATAAAATTTGGTAAACATCCTTATATCACTAAGATTTGCAATGAGCTTGACAAAATGTTTGGTTGCGATTAGTCAGGTGACATTTTAGGCCCATGGGCCTCTTGATTATGATAAATTATGGTAAATTATCAACAACAGTGGAATAGATAGTATGATTAAGCCTATGACAGGTAAAGTATTGAAATGTCCCACCTCCAGTGATATTGAGCTACTGGTCTTCCTGATTTTGTTAGTTCCTGAAAATTCCTGACTTATTTTTGAGTAATGGATAAAACATTTGAGATTTTTTGTAGAATCCTCAGAGAAGGAACACAACCTGTTCTTTGACGAGTCTGAGGAAGCTCCAGTCCAGATCAAGGGAAAAACTTCATCCAATGAGAGTAAGGTGTCAGAGACACACACTCGGAAAGAGCAGGAAAAATCACTTTTTGGAGAAGACAGTGACAGTGACTGGGAAGGACTGGATGGAGGTGAGTGTGAACTCTTTCTAATGATGGGAATCAGTTGAAATTTCCTGATCAATCATAAGTTTTGTTTATCCTTATATTAGGTGCGATAGAATAAACCAGTTGTTTTTTTTGTTATTTTTTTCTACATTGCCTTATAAGAATATATTGTTACATATGAAGTTTCAAGTATTGTGTGACAATTAACAGTATTTGTTCATGTAACCATGTTAAATAGCTTTAATGCTTATTTTGTAATTCTGTGATACATGGAAATTGAAAGTGTAGAATTGACTTACCATTGAATGAGTATGCTATTCTGCATAGCTTGCAAATGGGTTTTCTTTATTTCAAAGTATCTCTAATTATCAGGTTTTAAGCTTACCTGCCTGAGCTAATGGAAATAGGTTAAAATTGAGTGGGTGTGCCCACTTCAAATGCAAGTGGTACACATATTAATGTATTTGATGAAATTGATAGTATTTCATATGGAGTAAGCAACAACCACAATCAAACGATGGATACTGGCAAAGTCGTCTATGTTATACTGATCAACTAAATATACATCATCATATTGGGCACTTCTAACAAAACTTGATTCTTTAATTTATTAATTAGTCAAACACCTCAAACAAGTGGACAACAATGGATAATACTTTAAATCACTTTAATTTTGTGAAATATCAGTGACTTACGGTGTATGTACCAATGTAAGTTTCCTATATTGGTCATTTAGTTGTTGGAGTTTACAATGTACAATTAAATCAGAATCTGTAGGGATACAATCCACATAACCCAACAAACGTGATTGTTGATCTTCTAAATAAAATTGTATCATACATTTCTGAAATTATCATTTTTGTTGTAGAAGAAAAAAGTAGATTAAGTGCTGAAGGAAATGAGCTGAGAAAACTTCTGCATCATGGTGAGAAAAGTCGGGTGTCAAATGCTACCAAACAGGATGTCGAGGAACTAAGAAAGAAAGCAGCAAAAACTTCATGTTAGTAGCAAGAGTTACCTCCCTTCAACCAACTTTCGTGTTCCAACATCATGGCGCCTTAATGAAAATTTCACACAAGGCTAGGGATAATCTTAGGTTGTTAGTTATTGATTGGATGGTATTTAACACTCTGGTTGTCTGTAAATGACTAGATGGTATTAAACACTCTAGGTTGTCTGTAATTGATTGGATGGTATTTAACACTTTAGGTTGTGTGTAATTGATTGGATGGTATTTAACACTTCAGGTTGTCTGTAATTGATTGGATGGTATTTAACACTCTAAGTTGTGTGTAATTGATTGGATGGTATTTAACACTCTAAGTTGTGTGTAATTGATTGGATGGTATTTAACACTCTAGGTTGTCTGTAATTGATTGGATGGTATTTAACACTCTAGGTTGTGTGTAATTGATTGGATGGTATTTAACACTTTAGGTTGTCTGTAATTGATTGGATGGTATTTAACACTCTGGGTTGTGTGTAATTGATTGGATGGTATTTAACACTTCAGGTTGTCTGTAATTGATTGGATGGTATTTAACACTCTAAGTTGTGTGTAATTGATTGGATGGTATTTAACACTCTAGATTGTCTGTAATTGATTGGATGGTATTTAACACTTCAGGTTGTCTGTAATTGATTGGATGGTATTTAACACTCTAAGTTGTGTGTAATTGATTGGATGGTATTTAACACTCTAAGTTGTGTGTAATTGATTGGATGGTATTTAACACTCTAGGTTGTCTGTAATTGATTGGATGGTATTTAACACTCTAGGTTGTGTGTAATTGATTGGATGGTATTTAACACTTTAGGTTGTCTGTAATTGATTGGATGGTATTTAACACTCTGGGTTGTGTGTAATTGATTGGATGGTATTTAACACTTCAGGTTGTCTGTAATTGATTGGATGGTATTTAACACTCTAAGTTGTGTGTAATTGATTGGATGGTATTTAACACTCTAGATTGTCTGTAATTGATTGGATGGTATTTAACACTCTAGGTTGTCTGTAATTGATTGGATGGTATTTAACACTCTGGGTTGTGTGTAATTGATTGGATGGTATTTAACACTTCAGGTTGTCTGTAATTGATTGAATGGTATTTAACACTCTGGGTTGTGTGTAATTGATTGGATGGTATTTAACACTCTGGGTTGTGTGTAATTGATTGGATGGTATTTAACACTTCAGGTTGTCTGTAATTGATTGGATGGTATTTAACACTTCAGGTTGTCTGTAATTGATTGGATGGTATTTAACACTTCAGGTTGTCTGTAATTGATTGGATGGTATTTAACACTCTAGGTTGTCTGTAATTGATTGGATGGTATTTAACACTTCAGGTTGTCTGTAATTGATTGGATGGTATTTAACACTCTAGATTGTCTGTAATTGATTGGATGGTATTTAACACTTCAGGTTGTCTGTAATTGATTGGATGGTATTTAACACTTCAGGTTGTCTGTAATTGATTGGATGGTATTTAACACTCTGGGTTGTGTGTAATTGATTGGATGGTATTTAACACTCTGGGTTGTGTGTAATTGATTGGATGGTATTTAACACTTCAGGTTGTCTGTAATTGATTGGATGGTATTTAACACTCTGGGTTGTGTGTAATTGATTGGATGGTATTTAACACTCTGGGTTGTGTGTAATTGATTGGATGGTATTTAACACTTCAGGTTGTCTGTAATTGATTGGATGGTATTTAACACTCTGGGTTGTGTGTAATTGATTGGATGGTATTTAACACTTCAGGTTGTCTGTAATTGATTGGATGGTATTTAACACTCTGGGTTGTGTGTAATTGATTGGATGGTATTTAACACTCTGGGTTGTGTGTAATTGATTGGATGGTATTTAACACTTCAGGTTGTCTGTAATTGATTGGATGGTATTTAACACTCTGGGTTGTGTGTAATTGATTGGATTGTAATTCATATTTCTAATATGTTTTGATTTTAATCTATCCAACCATAATCTCCATGATGAAGTTTTGATTAGACTTTCAGCTTCATTTCAGAGTAGATGCTCTCTAGTTATTTACTTTTACAAGTTTTCTGGTTCTCAGGAAGAGGCATGCAGTATTAATTAGCCTTTGACTTTAGCGTGTATTTTCATTTGATAGGAAATTCAATGGTTATGTTTTACCTTTTTATTGAAGGGAAGGACCTCAGCCACCAACAGTCTCCAGTTCAAAGTAAGCTAGGAACATCAAATAAAGGGACCTGTAAAGAGAATGACCAGCCTTCTGTTACTGACCCTTTCTCTGGTATACGTATTATGTAAGTGTGTTTCACTGATAACACTTTGCTGCCCCAGATACTAGAAAAGTTATTTTTTATATGAAATGTTAACTAAAAATGCTGTAAATAAACTTGCGATGTAACTGAAAATCTTTTAGTATGAAATTATTTTTATGGTTTCTCTACAACATGAAATTGAGTTCTGTCAAAAGATTTTGGTGTCAAATAAAGACATTGATTTGATAACAAAGACTAATTTCAACTTGGTGCATGTTGTTAACCCTACCTTCAAATTACCTCATGTTGTGGTTGTGATCTCAGACTTTCAACACTTCACGATAGTTACTAATACTAAATGTGTCACATCATTATTTGAGCACAAAGTACTCCATATAATCCTGTTTTTTGTACAAAAACTCACTTAGAAGTCACTTGTCAGTTACTCTCTTGCAAATTTGTATAAACTTACATTAGTCATATTGTCTTGTTAGGTCATTAAAGTAGCTAGAAGATTCTAATCTGGGATTCCATTTAGACAGCTCACCAAAACTAATTCTTTACGAGCTGTAAGGAGAAAATAATAATGGTCTTAAATTTCTTTACAGAAATCCTAAAGTGTCATCTATAGATATGAAATACAAAATGGCTGACCGTACATTGGTGAAAGTGTCACGTATAGCTAGTCAAATTGGCACTAGTAAACTACAGGGAAACTGGGTAACCATAGCAGTAGTGGTCAGTAAGACTGAGCCACGCACATCAGCTGCGGTAAGTCATTGGTAAATAGTAGGTCACTTATAATAAGTTGTAGAGCCACGCACATCAGCTGTGAGAAGTCATTCGTAAATAGGTCACTTATGATAAATCATAGAGCCACATACATCACCTGGGATAAGTCACTGTTGACACATTTAAAGATAAAGAGTAGTAATGAATTAACATGAACACTGAAATAATTGTTAATATCATGTTTATTATTAATCTTTTAGATATCTAAGGGCAATAACTCTTAAAAGTAACAGATCATTATTTGTAAAACAACATGTAACCTTAACGATAAATGCTGTATTGTTTCTCCAGGGTAAGACATACTGTATTTGGAAGCTGAGTGACCTAGAAGACTGTGATAAGACTGTCAGTTTCTTCCTGTTTGGTGAGGTGTACAAGCAGCACTGGAAAAACTGTGTAGGAACAGTAGCGGGCATCCTTAATCCAAACATAATGGACAAAGCAGAGAAGGTACAGTAACCTGAGAAGATTCTACTTTACTGTGTAGACTGTGAAATGATATTGTGACAACATAGAGACAGTACATAAAGTTCTTCTTTACTGTGTAGCCTGTGAAATTATATTGTGACAACATAGAGACAGTACATAAAGTTCTTCTTTACTGTGCAGACTGTGAAATTATATTGTGACAACATAGAGATAGTTTAGAAACTTCAGCTTTACTGTGTAGACTGTGAAATTATATTGTGACAACATAGAGACAGTACATAAAGTTCTTCTTTACTGTGTAGACTGTGAAATTATATTGTGACAACATAGAGACAGTACATCAAGTTCTTCTTTACTGTGTAGACTGTGAAATGATATTGTGACAACATAGAGACAGTACATAAAGTTCTTCTTTACTGTGTAGACTGTGAAATTATATTGTGACAACATAGAGACAGTACATAAAGTTCTTCTTTACTGTGTAGCCTGTGAAATTATATTGTGACAACATAGAGACAGTACATAAAGTTCTTCTTTACTGTGTAGACTGTGAAATTATATTGTGACAACATAGAGATAGTTTAGAAACTTCAGCTTTACTGTGTAGACTGTGAAATTATATTGTGACAACATAGAGACAGTTTAAAAACTTCAACTTTACTGTGTAGACTGTGAAATTATATTGTGACAACATGGAGACAAAACAAAAAGTTCTTCTTTACTGTGTAGCCTGTTTAAATTACATTGTGACAATATAGAGACAGTTTAAAAACTTCTGCTTTACTGTGTAGCCTGTGAAATTATATTATGACAACATATAGACAGTTTAAAAAATTCTGCTTTACTGTGTAGCCTAAGAAATTATATTGTGACATTATAGAGACAGTTTAGAAACTTCAGCTTTACTGTGCAGACTGTGAAATTATATTATGACTATAACATAGAGATAGTTTAAAAACTTTTGTTTTACTGTATGGACTGTGAAATCATATTGTGACAAGATAGAGTACAAAAGGTTCTGCATTACTGTGCAGTCTGTGGCTTTAAGTTGGGATATTTTCTGTGATTTTATGTGATTAATTGTGTTAAAATGTTGAAAATTAAGGTATTCATGCTATTACAACAAATTCATTTGTAATCACTTGATTCCTTTCTGTTGTCTTTGTGACTCCTCCTAAACTCTTTGAAGTAGTAAATGAAACTTGGTACAAAGGAAGGTCACAATGTGTAGATGTGCATATTGCAAGGGGAATGAATGCTTTTCATAATTTTTTTACAAGAGTTATGGCCCTTGGATTTAATTTCCTATGCAAAATACCTTGTCTTTGCAAATCCTCCTGGACTCTTTGGAGGATTTTAATTGAACTTGGTACATAGAAAGACCACAATGTGTAGATGTTTTTCATAGGAATAATGGCCTTTGGACTTCTTCTTATGAAAAATGCCTTCGTGTTGGGTGGGTCGACATTAGAAATTGGGTCCATCCATTGTGAAGATCAGTAAACTTCTGTTTATGGCTCCAAACTAGATCTTTTGCCAATTAAACCATCCATGTAGATGTATGTCTGCAAACTACCAATCTGACCACTATTCAGTGGCAATTAAAAGTTTAATTTGAGGTAATAGTGCCAATGATTTTCCGTGGATGGAATTGTGGAATCAGCTTTCTGAGATGGAATTTTGGTTTTTGAAAAACAAGAATCCAAGTTGGAACAAATGCCATATATTCGTATAGAATTTGACTGAAATTTTGAATGCTTTTAATTATAATCCCAATTCCTGTGCTCATTTTCATTAATTTATGGCATAACAAGTAAATTGTTTGAACCGTGCTTCAGAAACTTTTAAGACATCCCGCAACGGACTGGTATACGTTGGTAACCAAAGTCACATGGTTAGTGCATTAACACATCATGGCTGACCATGGCGATACGCCGAGCTTTTCGGGTGTGAAAAAACGTAGGCTTCATCCTATTAAAAAAGTCAATACAAAGTCTAGGGCTTCACAGTTCCCAGACGACCTCTATGAAGACAGAAACGTTTTATTTTGCAAATTTTCCAGCACAGCATTGATTTTACTAGAGCTGACACGGTCAAGGATCATATAAAATCCAAGGAACATGCTGAGAGAAAAAAGTCGGCTGGCTCTAGTCAAACAAAACTTAAACAAACCACATCTGTCGGCAAATTGAATCGGATGAATTTGTTTTAGATTTCTTGAAAATGTGTACTCTGGCTGATATTCCCGTTGACAAAATAGAACATTTCCTGGTAAAGAAATACTACCTAGCTAATAGTAACTGCTGAAAAACACGGTGTTGATTTTGTTCTGTTATTGTACTACTTAGTACCAAAATTTGAGGAAACATTGCTAAATTTTCACATAACATATCTTGATTATCTGCAGACTGCCAGTAACATAACATGTGGTGATTATCTGCAGACTGCCAGTAACATAACATGTGTTGATTATCTGCAGACTGCCAGTAACATAACATGTGTTGATTATCTGCAGACTGCCAGTAACATAACATGTGTTGATTATCTGCAGACTGCCAGTAACATAACATGTGGTGATTATCTGCAGACTGCCAGTAACATAACATGTGGTGATTATCTGCAGACTGCCAGTAACATAACATGTGTTGATTATCTGTAGACTGCCAGTAACATAACATGTTGTGATTATCTGCAGACTGCCAGTAACATAACATGTGTTGATTATCTGCAGACTGCCAGTAACATAACATGTGTTGATTATCTGCAGACTGCCAGTCTGCCACTTGTGAATTAATTATCTCAATCCATATTTGTTTTAATACTACTGCTGCAATATATTTTGCGTATTCTAGTCGGAAAACTAGTCTGAGATATCATATTCCCAGATAGTTCATGAGTTCAATTATTCCAGTCAGGAAAATTTCAATTATCAAGTCAAAACGGAATTCATGAAAATATGAAACGGAATTGGTGCAAATTTGAAACAGAATATGATTGGCCCTATGGTACATATATCTTTCTTTTGTATGCAGATTAAATGTAATGAATGTCTATTTGAAAATAATTATTTTTGAAAAATTTTGCTCCCAATGGGGGCATTCCTGGCACACCAATACATCTTGTTTAAAACAACTGCTCCTTCACAACCACTGATTGGATTTCAACCCCCTCCTCTCTGAACCCCTTTGTGCAGAAGGGCACAGACTAATGGGGGAAAATAGCTATCAATCTACATGATACTTTTTCTTTCGTTTTGTTGAAGCAAGTGAGTGATACAAGCCCTATTGGCCTCTTGTATCTTTCAAATATGTTATTCTCTTTTTGTTTATACTTAGTAAAAGACAAAGTAAGATAGCCTTTATTCAATCAATGTTGACACTATCTCCTACATTCTGTGTCCTTGGTTGTCTTTTCCAGCATAATTAGGGACCAGTAAAGAACATATCAGTTCAGATTCAGGAAAGCTTTCTTAGAATAGGCCTATTGATCTGAGCACACTTTAAGTACATTATCTATATCATATCTGAAAGGATTGGAAATGTAAATTAGGAAGTGATTTGTTTTGACAGGTTCAGCAGGATGTGGCGTTTACTGTGAATCACCCCCAACAGCTGCTGGTGATGGGCCTTTCTAAAGACCTTGGGCGCTGTACAGGGGTCAGCAAAGCTGGCAAACCTTGTACTAAGTTTACTAACAAGTAAGACTGCTTTCATGCTGTTAACATGGATAGTTTGATATTCCCTGTTCTGTCAAAACAGTCAAAACTTCAAAAATCATCTTCTCCATACCCAAATATGGTAGAATCAAATACTCTTCATGGGGGGAAAGGCCTGCAGATGCTTTACCAAAATTATAAATTTCATGACACCAAGGTCACACATTTCCCCCTGGGGAGGGGGTAAAATTTAATCTTTTTCTTCTTCTCAATACACTAGTAAGATAGAACCAAATACTCATATTAGATGAAAGTGTCTTAGGATGCTTCACCCAAATTGTACAGTCCCATGGTCTTACATTTCCCCCTTGGGAAGGAATAAAGTTAACTACAATTTATGTAGGTAAATTACATTTTTACGCAGAATTTCTTCTATTAGTTTTAGAATTATAAGTGTAAGATGACAGATTGATGATATGCGTACATTGATCCTGGGTGTTACCAAGGGGCTGGCGGGCTTGGTAGAAACAGGTTAAATTGGCTCAAATTTTCTTGTCTGATATAACAGGTATCTGTACAGGTGTGTCTCTTAACTCCAATAGTACACTTGACATATTTTGAATTTGACTAGGTAATTTGTTATGTCTGTTGGCACTCCTGTTTTTACAGACAGCATGGTGACAGGTGTACATACCATGTACAGTCTGCCTATAAGAAAACTTCATCATACCGCACTGAGCTTCAAGGCAGGTAAGTAACACAATATTTATAGCTAATGGTATTTCCTGGAATATTTCAAATTATAAACTTGCTGTGCAGTGTGATTTTAAATATGAAATTAAATCATTTATATATAAATCTGCTTCTGATATTTACTTTTCTTTATTGGTAAATTTATATATATTTCATTTTGTGACAGTTTTTCTTAGCAATCAAATGTACAGGTATAACATATTAAACAAATGGCATCTCTATCAGTATCACAGGTGTGACACCGAAAGCTCATGCGTCGGGGCAGAACAAGAAAAAGTCGAGTTCCTTTTTCTTTTATCAAGGAGAAACATTCACAGATCTGAGGTATTATTTTACTTTGTCTGTAGAATACTGTTGTTTTAACATCACATTTATATTACTGTGGTAATTAAAGGTTTATACCAATACTGTTAATAAATATCCTAAACCAGCACTCCAGCTTTTGTTTACAGGTGTCTCCCATATAGACTTATTGATTTAATGATGTGAATGAAAGGAGGCGTTACAAGAATTTTAATGTTTTTCTTTAAATATTTACAGGTTTTTTTTCAAAACAGGTTTAACATATTTACCATAATTACACTGAGGCACAGAGAAGAGTGCTTTATATTTTAATTTACCAGAAGCACAATTTGAAATTGAAATTTAAATTTAAAAATTATGTTATTTCAGGCCTCCAGCCAATAAAAAGGACAAGGTAACACTGGGTAAACTGTCCGAGAAACAGGCTCTACAAGATAAAGGGAAGGTGACCACTATGTCACTCCACAAACTGGAGCCAGGGGATCAGAAACTCCTCAAGGATCTCAAGGACAAAAAAAATGAATTGTAAGGGTGATATAAATAGACAAAAATTACCTCCCCTTGTTGTGTTTAACGTAAATTGATACAAACCATGTGAATATGGAAATATTTTGTCTCTTTGGAAGGGAACAATTCTCTCTCTTAGCATATAACTAGTTAATCAGCATTTCTGAATTAGATTCCTGAAGAATGCCTTGAAATAGGTAATGACCTTAATGAGACCCAAGAGGTATCGAAAGGATTTAGTTACTTGGCTGAACAAGCATAAATTTTACCCCTGCATAGCACATTTCTTTCATGGAGGGAAAGTATGTAACACTGGTAAATGTTAGTAGTAATATACTGCTTGGCAAAAGAGACTTTCCCTTCATCTTGATTGGTTGAGTAGTAAACCAGAGGTCATGGGTTTGAATCTTAGAAGAGGCGTTGAAATGAAGAAAAAAGAATGATTACATATTATCCTTCTTAACAATAACAGCAACAAAGATAAGATTGCAGAAATATTATATTGTTTTGGTTAATGCCTGATAAGAATGCTTTATGTACACCTGGCTATATTTATCAAACTATTTCATGAAGATAGAAAGTAATACCTTTAAAATACCTATATAAGAATTGGCAAGTCTTGATATAGAAAAACTCCTTATTTAGCGAGGATATAATACAGCATATAATCAATAACAGAATCTAAATCCAGCTTGTTTTATGGTATATTTTGTGTAGTTATTTCAGTATGGACATGCTTACCACACCCACAGTTATTGTATATTTTGTGTAATCATTTCAGTATGGACATGCTTACCACACCCACAGTTGGGTCCTTGAACTTTGTAAAACACTTAGTAAAAGAGGAGAAGTTTGAAAAAGGTAAGATTTTACTGTTTCTTAAAAATTTTGTTTATTTTTCTGTAGTGATTTTTATCTGGACACCTTTATCTGATTGAGAAATATGTTATGAGAGAAGATGAAACACGCTGATATCGGGGTATTTATCTACATGTGGCTCCATGTATTTGTGATGAAGAAGATACTTATTTGATAGTGCAAGCGAGACATTTTGAACCCAATGTTTTTACGATCGCAGTGAATTTGAGCAGCTCTATATTTTTTTAAGAAAATATACATATTGATATACTGAAATTACAACAACAAAATACTTACAAATATTCCCAACTCCTTTCAGGTACAAATGTAAAAGTTAAAAGGTCAATGTATTGCTCTTTGATAATTTTGAATATATAACTTGAAAGTTCCATGCTTTCAGATACTGGGAAAAAAGGGGTGGTTCAGTCCATCACTCCCAAGGAACTGCTGAAACAGCACAGGTTAGCCACACAGGAAAGGAAGCGACAACTGGTCCAGAGGCACTCCCTCAACCCCCTAGAATCTGTTCCCACTCTGGGCAAGGGCTTCTCTCCAGGTAGTGAAATATCACTAGAAGTTCAATTTCCTCGAGGAAAACCTGTTGGAGTCACCATGGACTTTGCAAAGGTAGGTTTAACCTGTTTTTGACTCGAGAGTATCTGTTTAGTCACTGTTAAATAATTGTTATATTATCTGATAAGTGAAGGTAAGTCCTGGTAAAGAAGATGGTTTTCGTGTGACTGGAAAAGATGCACTAACTTTTTACGGCTTCTCATTGGACATTTTAACTCTGCAAGCTGTAAGTCATAACTTAGAAAATGCTTGCTTGGAATAAAATATTTATCGTTCGTGACTTAACCATGCTTCATTGGAAGATAAATGTTTGGTATAGCATCTAGGAAATGTTTCATGGAAGAAGATTTAATATTTTATCAGGACTGTTGAGCTGACATATCGTGGTGGAAGACATGATTTTGTCACCATTTCTTTCACCATGTGTTGTAAATGGTGACATGTAATGTGTTTAGCCAACTTGTCTCCAAAAACACTTGTACAGTATAAAGTTATAACTGTATTATTTTTGAAAATTTGTTTGGAATTTTTTGGATTCAAGCAGACAAATTGTTGTTACTTTGTCTTTCAATGACGTAGGAGGAGAACAGAGACTTCTTTCATCAACATCCACAGCCAATGTTAGGTAGTGATGTTAAAATGACTTTCTCCAAATTGTGGGGTTTCCATAGAAATATTAGATTTCTCCATATGAGTATGGATGTCAGAAATGCCACACATATGAATCTTAAAGGACTAATATTTTTAAAAATGTCTAAAATAAAATATGCCTTCATTGTGGCTGTCAACTGTATCTTGTAGAAAAGGGGGGACAATGGTTTCTTAATAGCTAAAATCCCTACTAGCATATTTGTTTACCACAACAGTGTTTTTTTTGGGGTGGGAGTGGGGCCTTTTGGGGCCGATAATTAGTCCCATTCCCATTTGAAATTACATTTCATTTCATATCTTCCCAAAATTTTCAATATACTCCTGAAAATTTCCTTCCAAATTCACCAATTATCATCTAGCATTGATTCTGGAATGCTGCCACTCAGTATTACTACATATACTTCTCTTTATCATTTGGTCAGCCAATCTTTTTGACGACAAAGTTTTCTTTTATCAAACAAACCTACTTTGAGTCTTAATTTATTAAGATTTCCGAGTTACAAGAGTAACGCTTTACTGATATTCCTAATAAGAAATGCCCTAGTTTTATTGAGTTTACTGCGGATTTAAAAACTTGCTGGAAAAGATGCTATGTGTATATGTTCTACATTCCGAAGGATTCATTTTTCATATAGGGTGTCTCTGTGTCTTTCAAATCCTGGAATCAACACTGCTACCATTCAGATATAATGCATGCTTTCTTTGAGAATCCCTGGGAAATGGCAAACGAGAAATGTTTATAAGTAAAAATAATAGCCTAAGTGTAGATTTATATATGATGTGTCTACTACATGTATATCATTCTCTAAGGTCAGCCATTTTAAGGAATACATAATTTCATTTTATATATAGAATGCTTTTATAAAGTAATCTTCTGAACTTTTGAGGTTTTTGTCTCAGTCAACAAACACTCCTGTCAACTGTTAACCTACAGTTTTCACCTCTCACAGTCTCAGTCAACACTCCTGTCAACTGTTAACCTCCAGTTTTCCCCTCTCACAGTCTCAGTCAACACTCCTGTCAACTGTTAACCTCCAGTTTTCCCCTCTCACAGTCTCAGTCAACACTCCTGTCAACTGTTAACCTACAGTTTTCACCTCTCACAGTCTCAGTCAACACTCCTGTCAACTGTTAACCTACAGTTTTCACCCCTCACAGTCTCTGTCAACACTCCTGTCAACTGTTAACCTACAGTTTTCACCTCTCACAGTCTCAGTCAACACTCCTGTCAACTGTTAACCTACAGTGTTCACCTCTCACAGTCTCAGTCAACACTCCTGTCAACTGTTAACCTACAGTTTTCCCCTCTCACAGTCTCAGTCAGCACTCCTGTCAACTGTTAACCTACAGTTTCCCCTCTCACAGTCTCAGTCAACACTCCTGTCAACTGTTAACCTACAGTTTTCCCCTCTCACAGTCTCAGTCAACACTCCTGTCAACTGTTAACCTACAGTTTTCCCCTCTCACAGTCTCAGTCAACACTCCTGTCAACTGTTAACCTACAGTTTTCCCCTCTCACAGTCTCAGTCAACACTCCTGTCAACTGTTAACCTACAGTTTTCCCCTCTCACAGTCTCAGTCAACACTCCTGTCAACTGTTAATCTACAGTTTTCCCCTCTCACAGTCTCAGTCAACACTCCTGTCAACTGTTAACCTTCAGTTTTCCCCTCTCACAGTCTCAGCCAACACTCCTGTCAACTGTTAACCTACAGTTTTCACCTCTCACAGTCTCAGCCAACACTCCTGTCAACTGCTAACCTACAGTTTTCCCCTCTCACAGTCTCAGTCAACACTCCTGTCAACTGTTAACCTACAGTTTTCCCCTCTCACAGTCTCAGTCAACACTCCTGTCAACTGTTAACCTACAGTTTTCCCCTCTCACAGTCTCAGTCAACACTCCTGTCAACTGTTAACCTACAGTTTTCCCCTCTCACAGTCTCAGTCAACACTCCTGTCAACTGTTAACCTACAGTTTTCCCCTCTCACAGTCTCAGTCAACACTCCTGTCAACTGTTAACCTACAGTTTTCCCCTCTCACAGTCTCAGTCAACACTCCTGTCAACTGTTAACCTTCAGTTTTCCCCTCTCACAGTCTCAGTCAACATTCCTGTCAACTGTTAACCTACAGTTTCCCCCTCTCACAGATTTTTCAAGGTCACAAGTTTCAAATATGTCAATATCTTTAAACAATTTCTTTGAAATAACCTAAAGGCTTAGGGTGCTTATATTGGGCCTGTGGCATGCTTTGATGAAGGGTTACCAATTTTGTTCATGTGATTAACCTTTGATTTGCGATTAAGGTCGCAGGTGTCAAATGTGTTAAAAACTTCACATGACTTTTTCTTGATAAGAAAGGCTGTTGATATTGGTTCTTTAACATAGGTGGATGAAGGACTACCAAATCTATTATAATGATTCACATTCACTTATATCCAAGGTCTCTTGGGTCAAATGAGGTCTTAAAATGTCTTTCAATAAGCAATAGGTCTGGAGTAATGGCATTTGTGTATGTAAAGAATAAGATTTCAAGTTTGCAGAAAATGTTTTTATGAACCAGAAATGTCTTCTTTGTAAACTGTAGAGCAATTGAACAATTTTTTAAGCCTATTTTGCTTCTTGCATTTATTGGTCTTTATAGTCAGATGACTGTTAAGACTGATTGGCCTCTTGTTCTATTTTTTTTTCAATTTTATCACATTTGGAATGTGTTTCCTGAAGGGAGAGTCATGCTAAAACATCTTGGCTTTGTGAAACCATGTAGTCAGTAACTATTTGATTTTTTCCCCCCAATTTTAGCTCACTTTGTCCAATGGGCTTCCGTTTTCCATCTGTCAACATATTCTACAAATTGCTACTAGTCATGAACGACTGAGCAGATTTTGACCAAAGTTTGTCAGAAGCATTCCAGGAGGAAGGGGAATATATGTTGTATAAATGGTGAGTGCCAGCCCCCAGGGGTGGGAGGGGCTTGGCCCAATAGGTGAAAAGAAGTTAGTTCTTTAAAATTCTACTCCTCCTGTAGGTATGATTGGATTATGGCCAAATTTGGTCTCCAGCATTGTTGTGGGTAGGGGAATCAATTTTGTATAAATGGTGGGTCTCAGTCTCCTAGGGCAAGAGGAACATGGCCCAATAGGGGAAAAGAAGCAAGTTCTTAAAAATTCTTCTCTGGTAGCATAAGTGGATTTATCCAAATTTGGTCTGAAGCATGGCTTGGGGAAGGGGAATCAATTTTGTATAGACGTAAGGTTAGGGCTCCCGGGTCATAAGGGGCATTACTCAATAGGCGAAATAGAGTAAATTCTTTAAAATCCTACTCTTCCTGTAGCAATGAATGGAATTGCCCAAATTCTTGGGTGAATGTGTAAAATTGTATGATGGTAAGGTCTCGACCCCCAAGGACAGGTGGGGTGGGGCCCAAAAGGGGAAATAGAGTAATTTTTTTTAAAATCCTACTCTTCCTGTAGAAACTGTTTTCAGTATCAATGGTTCATTCACCATCCCCCTGTCTCCTGGGATGGGGACCCAATAGGGTTATTATAAGTTCTTAAATAACTTTCTTCTGTTTAAAGATATTTTCCAAGTTTGGTCTGAAGCAATTTTTATTAATAGTGAATCTGACTTCTGTTTGACAATAAGACTGGGACCTAATGAGAAAATCATATCAGAAATTACTGATCATATTTGAAATTCTTTATTAAATGGCTGAATAACTAGATTAGCCAGATGAACAATACATGCCCCTTTGGCCTCTTGTTTTTGTTTGTGGATCTTTCTTTTGCTGGTATCAAGTTGCTGGCTGCTGATTATTTAGACTTCACCGTGTTAAATGTCAAATGAATGGCATAAGAATCTTGGTCATTAAAGTACTTAAAGTGTCATTCAGGTGGCTGGCTAAACTAGATGTGTTTAGAAGACACTAGCAGTTAGATCTGTTGAGTGAAATGAAAATCTGGATCGTTTTGTTGTATCCTTTTATTTCTTGTTTAGCCAATTTACATTTTAATTGAAGGGATTTTACAATAAATCTAAAAGAAAAATACATTAACGCCCCCTGTCACCTGTTACCTTCACTCTACATCCATCACCTATTATCTTCGCTCACTACCCCTGTCACCTGTGTACTTCAGTTAACACACATTGCCTGTTAAATTCACTTGCTACCCCTGTCACCCATTAACTTTGTTCCCCCATTTAACTATACTTAACAGTGCTTGCCATCTCTTAAGTCAACATCCCATCACCAATTAACTTAACTCAACACCCTCTGTCACCCATGTACTTCATTCAACACCCCTATCGCCCATTAATTCATTTAGCACCCGTCACCCATTAACTTCACTCACTATCCTTGTAACCTGTTAATTGACTCAACACCACTGTCATCCATTAATTATGTATGTTTGTTGGTAAGTCCTCACACTTTTAAAACTAAAGTCCACCTATTTATAAGGCCAAAATACTGCTGTCAGCAATGAAATTGTTTAAGTCCAGTTTTATCAGACTGCTGTTATATTAGCACTATGTCCATGGTCCGTCATCCACCTGTACATAAAATAATTTTTGTGATTTTGTTTTTTCTTTTTCTTGATAAGTGTTGATTGGATCTCTGCCAAATTTCATATATAGGTTGCTGTTGGTGCCTAGTTGTGCCCATATGATTTGTGACTGATCAGAAAAAGAGAATGGCAGATAGGTGGCTTTCAATTTTGACAATGAAAGTTTTGTTATCACTATTTCTTGAGAATTACTGGATGGATCTTTCGTAAATTTCATATGTAGATTCCTCTTGGTCCCTAGTTGTGCACTTTTGATTTTGTGACTGATCAGAAAAACAAGAAGGCAAACAGGCGACCATTTTGGATTTGGCAGTTAAAGATTATTGTTCCTATTTCTTCAGGGAATTTTTTAATTTCCTATGATTTAGAGTGAAAAAGGAGGAAAGAACAGAAGAAGGAAAAAGATCCAACTTTTAAAGACCAAATCTCTGATCTTGTTGGTTTTGTTTTGTTTTTTCTTAAAGTTTATTCACCAGGTGAATATGTTACATTTCTTGCCATTTAGGTTACTTAAAGAAAACTTATAACGAAAATGTTCCATATGTATGTGATTTATACCAGTAGTACAAACACTTTGAGCTGACACAACTTATTATTCTGACATATAAACAGCCATCTTTCCCCCATTCATACTTTATGATAGTGATATATGTATTGAATCTGCTTAGGTTGTGATGTATCCATTGTAGCCGTATTATAGTGTACACTATGCCTGTGGTGACCTGTTGGGGCATCCCATTATGGAAGCTCAGATTGGACATCTGTAGACATGTAGACAATACTGGACACTACAGTACAGTGGTAGAGCCATTGAATTTTTACCATGTAGGCATATATCTTTGATAAAACATATTAGTTGTTCTTTTATTTTTATATCTAATAATAGTCAGTGTTGGTCTGAAGCTTTTATTGTTATCTTTTGGATTGTGGTTTGATCCTTTGAGAACATTTTTTCCCCAAGGATGCCTCTATCATATTTGTTCAGCAGGTTGCTTGAAGCGGTGTAGCCAATATTCCAGCAATGATTTAATTAGCAGTGTACTGTTAGTGGTATATAATGATATAGAACTCCTACACATTAATTTGTGAGCTGTGTTCCGCTCCTGTCGTATGTCCCAATATCAACAATAAACATCAAGTTTACATTGCCGTTAAATTATCTTGATATCTTCCGAGGAATGATTGACGGTCGCATTGCTGTACAATTACCACTGTGTTTTGATTGGACATAGCAGTCAAACATCAGAGAGTAATATATATAATTAGGTCTCTTCATTCATAAAGTCATGAAAGTGATTTTATGAATGGGAAACTAGTGCTCACTTTACATCATTGTGACTTTTGGTTCCCAGGCCACTTTGTGAATCAATATTTTCCTGTTTCTGCTGGCTTGTCAGATAGAAAATATCTGACAGTGTGTGACATTTATTGCTATAACCAGGCCTGTTAGTCCAATCAAGCCCTTACCAGGAAGTTTTAGTTGTGCAGAAAGTATTTTGAGTAAAAAGATTCTTTAATATGAGAAGGGAGTGGAGTCTGGAATATAAAATGGATATTTAGTGACCGTCCTGATATTGTACATTTGATCTATATTTAGACCTTAGTGTGATGCATTCCTAATAAATCAAATGAAATTGTCATACAGGAATAAGGAAACAACTAGTCATTACTGTCTGGAAGTAAAACACCTTAAAAATGAAGACATTTCCTAACCGACAGAAATACATCTTTATTTAAATGGTTGCTGATATCACTGTCTCCCAACTATTCCAGAATGATCAATATAAACAAGAATCAGGGGCTTTTGACGGACTTAGTTTTGGTTTGCGATTCATAACGAAGGAACTTCCATATATTTTACGACTTAATCTTTATCTTACCATAGGCATTACATGGTTTTGCAGAAAAATTAATCCACAAAAAAAAACACGGAAAAATCTTAGAAGATTATTATCGGGATGCCATGTTTGATTTTTCGGTTATAAAGATTTTTTTTTTTTTTTTTGTGCGCAATGTTATCAGTGTTATTGAAAAAACCAAGAATTATGAAAAAATCTTATATTTATATTTGAATTTTTTTTTCCAATACTAATAATAAATGATAACATATTAACGAAGGTCATGGCCAGTACTGACCTAGTGCATGTCAGTACAGTAGACAATTTTTTTTATTTTTCAGTTTAAGCAAAATTTCTGTCATAGAATTATTGCATTGTAGTATAAAGAGGAAAGTATAAGTTGGTTTTGATTGGTGTTCATCAAGTTGGAAAGCATAGGGACAATACAAAATAGATATAGAACCAATTGTTTGGCAGTGTTCAACAGTTACATATATAGAATGAAAGAAAAACAGCATTGTTAGCTTCATAGTATGTACATTTATATAATACAATAGGTTTAAATTATTCAAGATTCATTGCGTAGGTGGTAGACAATCAAAACAATTATATAAAGAAAAATGATGGAAAAACATAATTCTTCCCAGATATATCAATTCTTTAATCTACAGCCAGACCAGACTAACCTGACTTATTCACAAATCATTATAGGATTGAATTTCAATTTCAGAAAAAGGCAATAGCCAAAATCCAGATGAGTGGCGGAATTAGCAAAGAAGACCCGAATGCAGTCAGAAACAAAAACCGTTCTCCTGAATCCAATGTTAAAGTCAAGAAAAGGGTTGCTGAAAATATGGGTATGGTCACATGTCCTAAGCTTAAATACAAGTTCATGTTCTCTTTAAATCCTGGTCCACATTCAACATTAGTTGCAAAGCTTCAAGCCTAACAAAGTATGTTAGCACTCTAGTGGATTGATTCCTTATCAGACTTTACACTGTTACACAGCATCAAAATATCTTAGACAAGTCGGAGTTACGGGGTCTTTGGGTCAAGGTCAAAGTCACTTACTATATTTAATAAATCATTATCAACCCTGTGACTGCTTCATTCCCTGAAGGATTCTCATTAATCTTTACACATTTATAAACATCAAATTATCTTGAACAAGGTGAAGTTTCAGGGTTGTTGGGTCAAGGTCAACATCGCTTTATCTTTTAGAAAATGTTTGATTGACTCCTTACAGGATTTTGATTAAACCTTACACTTACATTCAGATTGTCATACTTATTTATTAAATTGTTCCATTAAAAATTAGATGCAAACAAATTGTATACTTTTCCAAATGAACACCAGAGGGCACCATTTTTATACGCCCGTTGAAAGATGGACATATTATGGTATGGGGCTGTCCGTCCGTCTGTCCGGCGTAAACTTTTATTTGTCCATAGATCTCGTCCTACATTTTTCAGCTGATCTTTATGAAACTTGGTAGGCTTAATCGCCATGATATGAAGATATGTTTTCCGGAAAGGGGTTTTGATTTGGTGATTTGAACAAGAGTTATGGCCCTTTGTTTACTTCACTATAGAAATCTTGTTAGCAATATTCAGTATGTACATTATTAGTAATCTTATGTCATCACTGTCTTGAAACTTTTTGTTTATAGATACTGATGTCCTATCGAAAGAAGATAGATCTGTACAGGAGCCACCTAAGAAACGTTCCAAGCTTCTCGGGAATATAGATGTCAACTCAGAGGAATTCAAACAATTGATGAAAGTGCGTTCCAAGCACAAAGGGGCGTTGGCTGAGGTAGTTGAAATTTAAATATTGGCTTGGATTTACAATTCAATGGAAACTGGTTGAAGTGTGGTCTTAAAAGCTCAACATATATAAGTAATTGTCTAGTTATGGATAAAGACAGACCCTGCAGATACTCTCTCCTCCTATAAATTATTGTCTAGGTATGGTAAAAGATGTCCTCCTTCAATACCCTCTTCTCTCATTTGTGTAAAGTTACATTTCGCAGATCATCTCAATAGAGACTGTTTAGTTAAAATAGGTTAAAAGTGATGATGATGAATAGATAAGATGCTCTATATGTAGAGAATAAACACAGATGTAATCTTACTGGACATGTGATAGGTTAAAAATGATGATGATGAATAGATAAGATGCTTTATATGTAGAGAATAAACACAGATGTAATCTTACTGGACATGTGATAGGTTAAAAATGATGATGATGAATAGATAAGATGCTTTATATGTAGAGAATAAACACAGATGTAATCTTACTGGACTGGACATGTGATAGGTTAAAAATGATGATGATGAATATATAAGATGCTTTATATGTAGAGAATAAACACAGATGTAATCTTACTGGACATGTGATAGGTTAAAAATGATGATGATGAATAGATAAGATGCTTTATATGTAGAGAATAAACACAGATGTAATCTTACTGGACATGTGATTTCCAGGATAAATGTGGCCCAATTTATCTACTTATGTTTTACAGTGATTTTTACAGTTTGTGAACATATGAAGTCGTGGAATAAGATCACCCACAAAATCAACAAAAATAATCCTCCACAAAAAATAATGCTTTTACAGTATGTTATATGGTTAATAGGGAAAAATAAGTAGAGCATTTGCCAGGTAATATGATCTGATTGACAGGTGGAAGCAGAACATGAAGAGAGGTACTTTATGGCAATGGAGAAAAAGGAAAAATATGAAGATAAGATGTCTTCAATTATGGAAATGAAATGCAAAGTATTTACCTGTGTTCAGGTGAGTAATAACTAAATATTTCTCTTATAAAAATTGTGATATTGAAAACATTGATATTTGCAAGCAGTTATGGCAAGCAGTTATTTTTTGCATTTTATCAACTTTACACATATAAAATTGGGTTGCATGTACAATATGTGTTAGAACCTACACCATAGTGACTTATTTTTGTCCAGAAATATAAAAAGCAGCTTCAAACTGAAAAGAAAAAGATAGGAGCCAACACTTATACTAGTCATTAGGTTCTGCTGGTTGATAAATAAGTAGTTGTGAGAGTAGATATGCTAGTTAGATTACATACACTGTATGTACATTTTTTCCGGTGTCACTGCTCAAAGTCTTTGATTGGCTGATTGTTTCAGCCAATGATATTAATTATCCTGAGTAATTCAATACATACTGCAGCTAAAGTACAACAACATTGGCATGTCCTTTTGGCTGCAATAAATATGTAACTGCAGGTCAATCATTTATATCTCCTTAAAACGGGACAGGAGGTCCCACATGCCTTAATCAGAATTAAGTAAATTTGAAATCTTGTTATTTTCCAATAAGTATTGTTATTTTACTATAAAATTGTGTTTTAATAATGCTGTTTCAATCACATGTGGAGTTTTTGTCCTGACAACAAAAGATTGATTTACTTATGAAATTTGATTTTCTCTTAGCACAAACAAGAAGATCTGAGATCCATCAAACTTGTCTGTACCAATGATACAACTGTGATATGATTAATGTTTTTGTACTGGTCACTGATCTTTCTTCCAGTGTAATTATACTGCATTTAAACCAGCTGACTCATGCAAACAAAATGGACACTCAGTCAAAACAGTTGAAGCAACAAAGCGATTCTTCAAGTGTAAAAAGTGTAGCAACCGAGCCATTTCTATTCATAAATATCCAACAGAACCTTGTCGGTAAGTATTAAAAACACCTGTAGCAGGGTATATTATACCTAGCAGTATTATATCCAAGACTTTTATGTAAAAAACAATAAAGATTCTTCTATATATATGGGGTAAACATTTATTTGAATTCTTAATATTGCATTTTGTGTAGGAAGCAGTTCATCTTGTGTAAGCATAGTTTGATGAAAGCACAGTAATAAAATCTGTTAGAGGCCTGTCTCTCTGATGATAATCTCAGATACTGTTAGAGGCCTGTCTCTCTGATAATAATCTCAGATACTGTTAGAGGCCTGTCTCTCTGATAATAATCTCAAATACTGTTAGAGGCCTGTCTCTGTGATAATAATCCCAGATACTGTTAGAGGCCTGTCTCTGTGATGATAATCCCAGATACTGTTAGAGGCCTGTCTCTCTGATGATAATCTCAGATACTGTTAGAGGCCTGTCTCTCTGATGATAATCCCAGATACTGTTAGAGGCCTGTCTCTCTGATGATAATCTCAGATACTGTTAGAGGCCTGTCTCTGTGATAATAATCCCAGATACTGTTAGAGGCCTGTCTCTCTGATAATAGTCTCAGATACTGTTAGAGGCCTGTCTCTCTGATAATAATCTCAGATACTGTTAGAGGCCTGTCTCTCTGATAATAATCCCAGATACTGGTAGAGGCCTGTCTCTCTGATAATAATCTCAGATACTGTTAGAGGCCTGTCTCTCTGATAATAATCTCAGATACTGTTAGAGGCCTGTCTCTCTGATAATAATCCCAGATACTGGTAGAGGCCTGTCTCTCTGATAATAATCTCAGATACTGTTAGAGGCCTGTCTCTCTGATAATAATCTCAGATACTGTTAGAGGTCTGTCTCTCTGATAATAATCTCAGATACTGTTAGAGGCCTGTCTCTCTGATGATAATCTACTGTTAGAGGCCTGTCTCTCTGATAATAATCTCAGATACTGTAGAGGCCTGTCTCTCTCTGATAATAATCTCAGATACTGTTAGAGGCCTGTCTCTCTCTCTGAGGCCTGTCTCTCTGATAGATCTAGAGGCCTGTCTCTCTGAGATAATCTGTTAGAGGCCTGTCTCTCTGATGATAGTCCCAGATACTGTTAGAGGCCTGTCTCTCTGATGATAGTCCCAGATACTGTTAGAGGCCTGTCTCTGTGATAATAATCTCAGATACTGTTAGAGGCCTGTCTCTCTGATAATAATCCCAGATACTGGTAGAGGCCTGTCTCTCTGATAATAATCTCAGATACTGTTAGAGGCCTGTCTCTCTGATGATAGTCTCAGATACTGGTAGAGGCCTGTCTCTCTGATAATAATCTCAGATACTGTTAGAGGCCTGTCTCTCTGATGATAATCTCAGATACTGTTAGAGGCCTGTCTCTCTGATGATAATCTCAGATACTGTTAGAGGCCTGTCTCTCTGATAATAATCTCAGATACTGGTAGAGGCCTGTCTCTCTGATAATAATCTCAGATACTGTTAGAGGCCTGTCTCTGTGATAATAATCTCAGATACTGTTAGAGGCCTGTCTCTCTGATAATAATCTCAGATACTGGTAGAGGCCTGTCTCTCAGATAATAATCCCAGATACTGTTAGAGGCCTGTCTCTCTGATAATAATCTCAGATACTGTTAGAGGCCTGTCTCTCTGATGATAGTCTCAGATACTGTTTGAGGCCTGTCTCGTTGATGATGGCCTCAACTAGTATTAAAGGCCTACCAATCTGATGATAGTGTTAGATAGTGTTAGAGGCCTGTCTCTCTGATGATAGTCTCAACTACTGGTAGATGCTTATCTCTGATAATAATCCCAGATACTGTTAGAGGCCTGTCTCTCTGATGATAATCTCAGATACTGGTAGATGACTATCTCTTTGATAATAGTCTCAGATACTGTTTGAGGCCTGTCTCGTTGATGATGGCCTCAAATAGTATTAAAGGCCTACCTATCTGAGGATAGTGTTAGATAGTGTTAGAGGCCTATCTCTCTGATGATAGTCTCAACTACTGGTAGATGCCTATCTCTGTGATAATAGTCTCAGATGCTGTTAAAGGCCTGTCTCTCTTATGATAGTCTTAGACACTGTTAGAGGCCTGTCTCTCTGATGATAGTCTTAGACACTGTTAGAGGCCTGTCTCTCTGATGGTAGTCTTAGACACTGTTAGAGGCCTGTCTCTCTGATGGTAGTCTTAGACACTGTTAGAGGCCTGTCTCTCTGATGATAGTCTTAGACACTGTTAGAGGCCTGTCTCTGTGATAATAATCTCAGATACTGTTAGAGGCCTGTCTCTCTGATAGTAGTCTTAGACACTGTTAGAGGCCTGTCTCTCTGATGGTAGTCTTAGACACTGTTAGAGGCCTGTCTCTCTGATGGTAGTCTTAGACACTGTTAGAGGCCTGTCTCTCTGATGGTAGTCTTAGACACTGTTAGAGGCCTGTCTCTCTTATGATAGTCTTAGACACTGTTAGAGGCTATCTCTTTGGTGATATGTCTTAGACACTGTTAGAGGCTATCTCTTTGGTGATATGTCTTAGACACTGTTAGAGGCTATCTCTTTGGTGATATGTCTTAGACACTGTTAGAGGCCTGTCTCTTTGGTGATATGTCTTAGACACTGTTAGAGGCTATCTCTTTGGTGATATGTCTTAGACACTGTTAGAGGCCTGTCTCTCTGATGGTAGTCTTAGACACTGTTAGAGGCCTGTCTCTCTGATGGTAGTCTTAGACACTGTTAGAGGCCTGTCTCTCTGATGGTAGTCTTAGACACTGTTAGAGGCTATCTCTTTGGTGATATGTCTTAGACACTGTTAGAGGCTATCTCTTTGGTGATATGTCTTAGACACTGTTAGAGGCTATCTCTTTGGTGATATGTCTTAGACACTGTTAGAGGCTATCTCTTTGGTGATATGTCTTAGACACTGTTAGAGGCTATCTCTTTGGTGATATGTCTTAGACACTGTTAGAGGCTATCTCTTTGGTGATATGTCTTAGACACTGTTAGAGGCCTGTCTCTCTGATGATATGTCTTAGACACTGTTAGAGGCTATCTCTTTGGTGATATGTCTTAGACACTGTTAGAGGCCTGTCTCTCTGATGATAGTCTTAGACACTGTTAGAGGCTATCTCTTTGGTGATATGTCTTAGACACTGTTAGAGGCTATCTCTTTGGTGATATGTCTTAGACACTGTTAGAGGCTATCTCTTTGGTGATATGTCTTAGACACTGTTAGAGACTATCTCTTTGGTGATATGTCTTAGACACTGTTAGAGGCTATCTCTTTGGTGATATGTCTTAGACACTGTTAGAGGCTATCTCTTTGGTGATATGTCTTAGACACTGTTAGAGGCTATCTCTTTGGTGATATGTCTTAGACACTGTTAGAGGCTATCTCTTTGGTGATATGTCTTAGACACTGTTAGAGGCTATCTCTTTGGTGATATGTCTTAGACACTGTTAGAGGCTATCTCTTTGGTGATATGTCTTAGACACTGTTAGAGACTATCTCTTTGGTGATATGTCTTAGACACTGTTAGAGGCTATCTCTTTGGTGATATGTCTTAGACACTGTTAGAGGCTATCTCTTTGGTGATATGTCTTAGACACTGTTAGAGGCCTGTCTCTCTGATGATATGTCTTAGACACTGTTAGAGGCTATCTCTTTGGTGATATGTCTTAGACACTGTTAGAGGCCTGTCTCTCTGATGATAGTCTTAGACACTGTTAGAGGCCTGTCTCTCTGATGGTAGTCTTAGACACTGTTAGAGGCCTGTCTCTCTGATGGTAGTCTTAGACACTGTTAGAGGCCTGTCTCTCTGATGATAGTCTTAGACACTGTTAGAGGCCTGTCTCTCTGATGGTAGTCTTAGACACTGTTAGAGGCTATCTCTTTGGTGATATGTCTTAAATACTGTCAGTCTAATGGTAAAAAAACAGGTGTGAAATGTAAACCATGATGAAATATCCACAACATGAAAAAGATATAAAACTGTTTTACATTTCTACAGATAAGATGGTTGACAACTTCAATATCACTGTGTCCTAGATGTTTATATTTTATAATTTAGAAAATAGGCAAGATACAGCATAGATACAAGTTTTCTTATGTTTGTAGAAGCAATAATTCAAAACCCCTCTCACCATCTCATTAATTTCAGGAATTGCGGCATGCAAAGCTTTGAGAGGACATCAATGTATCAGGTTTGTACAAAACAGATTGCTATTGAGATCAGATTAAAGAGAGTAGCTTTCAATTGTAACTTGTGTCTATAGGTTTCACCTACTTTTTCTGTCTTCCAACCTTCTAGGTAATGTTAAAAGTTTGATGTATAATTTGTATTTCAATGAATTATACAGGAACAATTTTATTTATAAACCAAATTCAATAAACCATTATAAAGAAATAAAATACGAAATGCTGCTAATTTTGTTATACCCCATGCGACAAAGTTAGGGGGGTATACTGGAATCAGCTTGTCTGTCTGTAGAATAAGTTTGCCCTGAATACTCCTAAACTTGTGGAGTACAGTAATGTTTCCTACCATTTAGCAAAAATTGGGTTACCATGGAAACCAGGTCACTATACATTCGCTTTTATGTTTAAAAATTGTCTTGATATTTTTTCCTTAACCTGTGAGCCAATCTGAATCTAAATATACAGGAATATTAGGGACTATGTACAAATGAGCATACAGTTTTTTTTAGTAGAAATTTGGGTTGACATGGTAAATAGGTTAGGGTTTTTATGTAATGGCTGTAACTCATCAATCCTTTGATCAATTTTATTGAAACTTTGTTGAGTGGTGTAACTTATCAATGCCTTTAATTTGACACATCAGGTGTTTCCAGAACTATTATTATGGAAACGTGATGGAGGGTCCTGATTGGTCAAAATCGAAATGTTGCCCAATTGTGCTAAAAATTGCAATATAAAGATTTTGATTAGACTGATCTTTTCCAAACTGCTCCTAATGTTGTGTACTGATTTCATTGAAACTACATAGAGACGTTAGGGACTCTCAGCTCTTTTACTGATTTTATTTAGACGTGATCAACTGCTACAGCTGACTATAGCCTATAATTTGACATTTGGAAACACATTGGAGGCATCTGATTGGTCAAAATTATGACATTATCTGATTACGTTGAAAATTTGTATAAAAAGGTTGAAGGGAATGACAAATACAATGATACCATTATTTAAAAAAAAAAGAAAACCCAAAAAACAGCTGGTTGCCTTTTATTTCAATGGTGGCCAAATGAAGACTAGTCTTAATACTATTTGAGAGATAGCTATTGAGGTTGTTGACAGGTTTAATGGATACGATCCATTGTCTTTTGTTGAGTATTTAAAGATAACTAATCTAGTTTCTTTGTTCTTTCAGGAAAAGAAAATGAAAACACCTTCAGAGGAACTTTGTATACGAGGCGATGAGATAAAATACTTAGGATCTCTCCAGGAAAAATCCTTCCTTAACATATAGACATTTGCAGAATAAGTCAAATTAGTTTAACCTCAAAACAGTCTGTAATGTAAACCAAGTTCGATGCCATCACTCCCATTAAGAATTTGTAGGATGTCATAGACTCTTTTATTTCTAAGTACTATTTTAGGTATCAGCCATTTCTGTAAAATATTTATGAAATCTCATTCTATGATAAGGATTTATAGTAATGTTTACCTCTTGTTCAATTAAATGTCTTCCAAATCCTCTCAAACACATTTTGAGAAAGAGTCTGTGCTATCTTGAAACGGTTGCTTTAGAGTGAAAATTGTTTTTTTTTTTTATGTTTGAAATGAATGCAATACTATTACAGTGAGAATTATGAGGTGAACCAGACTTTTTTGTCTTTTTGTGATGTAGACAAAGAAGTTTTCACAGAAGAGTGACTAAATATGTGTTAATGACATCTTGTGCTGGCACAGATTGGTTTTAATTGTAGAATGAAATCTAATAAAATGTACAATATTTGAAACTTGTATTTGTTTTACTTTTTGGGGGGGGGGGGGGGGGGAGCTGATCTGGAAAAAAAAACATGATAGAGAGGCGGCCACCAGTAGGATGGATTGGATTTTGCCAGAATTTGGTCTGAAGCATTCTTGGGTAAAGTGGAATCAATTTTGTACACCAAAGTATTAGTGGGTCTCGGCGAGAGGGATGGGGCCCAACAGGGGAATATAGGTAAAGTCCTACTCCATCTAAGAAGAATCAGTTTGGTATATACGATGAGTCTTAGCCCCCTAGAATTGGGGCCCAAAAGGGGACATACAGCAAATGCTTTAAATTCCCACTCCTCTTGTCGAAGTGGTTGGAATTTTGCCCAGATTCTAAAGCATTCTTGGATGAAGAAATTAAAAACAATTTGAGACTGCCTATGGCAAGAGCCCATCATGGAAAATAGATAATTCTATAAAATTCTTTAAAATTCTGCTTCCTCTTTAGGGATGTCAACATTCTGTCCCCATTCAGTCACATGCTTTGGTTGTTTGGCTGATCCCCTAAGGATAGAGATGCGAGCCAAATGGGGAAATATATATAGTGTATGTTGTGTGCCTTGAAATCAAGAATTCCTTTTCCTTTAGTTTTGATACAGCAATTTCAGCCAATCAAAGCCAGGTGATTGATACAGGCCCTATTGGTCCTGGTTTCTGGAGAAGATGGATTGGCAGGATCTTTCCTAAATATCTTATGTAGGCTCCATTTGGTCTAGTGTTTTACCTTTTCAATTTTATGGAAGAAGGAAAAACAAAATAGCTGAAATGAGGCCATCTTGGATTTTGACAATAAAAGTTTGCTGTTGCTCATCCTGAGACTTCATGGAGGAATTTTCATTTTTTTTTTTTTTTTTTTTTTCAAAATAATGAGCAAAAGAAAGAAAAGGAAAGGAGAAATCTTTTAAAGACCAGATGATGATCATTCAATGGTGGGTACCAAGATCCATCTGGGATCTCTTGTAACTTGTGCTGTAGGTAGGGAAGCTTTCTCTCATGGTAGTTACGGCATACAATCCTGTTCAGAGTTATGTCTTTTTCCATTTTCGATTTTACCAGATATACAAATAGTCCTTTTTCACTTGAATTGAAAATGACACTTTGTATGCAAAGAGTGATACTATTTATAGTAACAACGACCTAAATATTGAATGGAACACCTTGATTTGTTAATTGGTTAAATACATCATGGAAAAGATAACATTATGGAATTGCAAAAATGGGAAGGTAAAAGCAATAAATTAAATGTTGAAATAGTTAATGTGATAATATTTATCAATAGTAATGATAACCTTTAATTATAAACTCTTTCAAGGGTATACAATTGAATAAAAGCAGCTGATATGAAAACTCTCATGATATGGAGCTGGTTGTGGTCAAACAAAGGAAAATTGCAATTCGTAGAGTCAGTACAGGGATTTTCTTGTTAATACAAGGTTTTTCTATGTGATTCTATTTTGTATCAATGACATACATGATGAATATATTGCTTTTGTTATGACATGTAAACCTTTTTGTTGGTATTGTGAATCCTAAACATATGACAGTCACTAGGACTTTTGTGATGTTAGCAATTATGATTGTAGATTCAACATTTCCAACATGTAGCTGTATGTGTCCCAGGAACCGAGAAATAGACTGGTCTGTCCTGGCATGGTTATGTCCTTGGGCAAGACATTTCCCCAAAATTGCTCAAGATTTCATTTGAAATGCTTTTCATGTCTTATTAGTTAAAGATCGGCTACTTCAAAGAAACCCCACCTCAAAATCACCATGACTGATCAAACGGGCGATAAATTCAGCAGACAATTATTTGTTTCTTTGACTTTGTTTTAGTGTTGTTCTCACTAATAGATCAGTCTTCTGATACATGAAGTCTGTGTTATCAGTGTACCAGTTCACTGCAACCTTATAAAGATTGTATTGTCATATTCTCATGTCTAGACAAAAATAGATAGCTTTGTACCCCTGCATCTTTTGGATGATACAATTCATTTTTATAAAACTAACTGTCGCAGCACAGCAGTTAAGCTGATCCAGTTATACAAAATGTCTTCAAGAAACCAATCATAAAGCTAACAAAGAGCCTTAGATTTGACATGTGCAGACACACCGTTTGTCAGTACTGATCTTTAAATTTAGATTGTACACTGGATTATTATTATCATACTACGTCCAGTAAAGATAATGTGTCTGCTACCTTACTTGATGTTAAAGGTAAGACGAGAAAACACGGGAATCCAACATATCTCTTTACCAGCCAAAATAGCATGTGTGTATTGTCGGAAACCTTAAAATATTGTCAGGGAATATAAAGGCAATCTATCAACAGGGACAAGTTAATCTCAATTGCTTCAATATACGACACTGTAGGATGTTTGACTCTAATCAAATCAACAAAACCAGTCCCATGTGGACAATTCCGTGTGTCTGTGATAGACTGACATCAAACATCTCTTGGTCATCTTTTCCTCAATGTATTTGCCTTTCATAAGTTAGAAAATCACAAGTTCTCTGTTTAACAAAACAGTAAACAGTGTAAACAAAGTACCTTTGTTATAAACAGTAAACAGTGTAAACAAAGTACCTTTGTTATAAACAGTAAACAGTGTAAACAAAGTACCTTTGTTATAAACAGTGTAAACAAAGTACCTTTGTTATAAACAGTGTAAACAAAGTACCTTTGTTATAAACAGTGTATACAAAGTACCTTTGTTATAAACAGTAAACAGTGTAAACAAAGTACCTTTGTTATAAATACAGTAAACAGTGTATACAAAGTACCTTTGTTATAAACAGTGTATACAAAGTACCTTTGTTATAAACAGTGTAAACAAATTACCTTTGTTATCAACAGTAAACAGTGTATACAAAGAACCTTTGTTATGAACAGTGTATACAAAGAACCTTTGTTATAAACAGTGTATACAAAGTACCTTTGTTATAAACACAGTAAACAGTGTAAACAAAGTACCTTTGTTATAAACAGTGTATACAAAGTACCTTTGTTATAAACAGTGTATACAAAGTACAGTGTATACAAAGTACCTTTGTTATAAACAGTGTGTACAAAGTACCTTTGTTATAAACAGTGTATACAAAGTACCTTTGTTATAAACAGTGTATACAAAGTACCTTTGTTATAAACAGTGTATACAAAGTACCTTTGTTATAAACAGTGTATACAAAGTACCTTTGTTATAAACACAGTAAACAGTGTATACAAAGTACCTTTGTTATAAACAGTGTATACAAAGTACCTTTGTTATAAACAGTGTATACAAAGTACCTTTGTTATAAACACAGTAAACAGTGTAAACAAAGTACCTTTGTTATAAACAGTGTATACAAAGTACCTTTGTTATAAACACAGTAAACAGTGTATACAAAGTACCTTTGTTATAAACAGTGTATACAAAGTACCTTTGTTATAAACACAGTAAACAGTGTAAACAAAGTACCTTTGTTATAAACAGTGTAAACAAAGTACCTTTGTTATAAACAGTGTAAACAAAGTACCTTTGTTATAAACACAGTAAACAAAGTACCTTTGTTATAAACAGTGTAAACAAAGTACCTTTGTTATAAACAGTGTAAACAAAGTACCTTTGTTATAAACAGTAAACAGTGTATACAAAGTACCTTTGTTATAAACAGTGTATACAAAGTACCTTTGTTATAAACAGTAAACAGTGTATATAAAGTACCTTTGTTATAAACAGTGTATGCAAAGTACCTTTGTTATAAACAGTGTATACAAAGTACCTTTGTTATAAACAGTGTAAACAACGTACCTTTGTTATAAACAATGTATACAATGTACCTTTGTTATAAACAGTAAACAGTGTATACAAAGTACCTTTGTTATAAACAGTGTATACAGTGTAAACAGTGTATACAAAGTACCTTTGTTATAAACAGTGTATACAAAGTACCTTTGTTATAAACAGTGTATACAAAGTACCTTTGTTATAAACAGTGTAAACAAAGTACCTTTGTTATAAACAGTAAACAGTGTATACAAAGTACCTTTGTTATAAACAGTGTATACAAAGTACCTTTGTTATAAACAGTGTATACAAAGTACCTTTGTTATAAACACAGTAAACAGTGTATACAAAGTACCTTTGTTATAAACAGTGTATACAAAGTACCTTTGTTATAAACAATGTATACAATGTACCTTTGTTATCAACAGTAAACAGTGTATACAAAGTACCTTTGTTATAAACAGTGTATACAAAGTACCTTTGTTATAAACAGTAAACAGTGTATACAAAGTACCTTTGTTATAAACACTTTGTTATAAACAGTGTATACAAAGTACCTTTGTTATAAACAGTGTATACAAAGTACCTTTGTTATAAACAGTGTATACAAAGTACCTTTGTTATCAACAGTGTAAACAAAGTACCTTTGTTATCAACAGTAAACAGTGTATACAAAGTACCTTTGTTATAAACCGTAAACAGTACCTTTGTTATAAAGTGT